ATAGAATTAATGTCTACTTGAAAAAGCAATACGGTCACATACTTTCTTTCTAAATACCGTGATGTGGACTTTTGGCCGTACCGCACAGCCTGGGATTTTGATCAAAGGACGGACAAACTAAGACAATTGTCTGGCCTTTGATGGGAACTAAATGTAAAAAAAAAAAAAAATTCAGGGTAAAATAGTTTTGTTTACATTTGTTTTCAGCCACATGAGCAGTACTTTGTAAATAACAAAGACGGACAGTAGACTGATTCCATTTAGAAGCAGAAATACTTTGAACCCAAAGACGCTCAAAGCAAGTTCGAGAAAAGAGACAGAGGACACTGCTCTGAATCCAAACCTGCACAGGGAAAACGTCAGCCGGTGATGACGGGGCGGGGGGCTTTTTCCAACTTGTGCTTCCACTTATTTGCTGTGCTCTAAACGATACTTGGCCTGAAGCCCCAACAGCAGCCACAGAAACACACAGGCCATTATCGTACATCACCGTGAGGATTCAGACATCAAAAGCTGGTGGGAAGCTGGTGAGTCACACCGAGCAGCTCACAGGCATTCACACGAGTGCTGCAATGCTCACTGCACAGTTGTGCTGCATGAAGGTGAGGAGAGAGGGCATGACACGGTAACATCTACTTTATTAATTAATACACGTTAGGGCTGCTATTGCAGGTTTAATATGGGGAAATAAAAAACTTTTTGGGATTCATGGGATTTTCCTGAAGGCAACAGCCGGAGTAATGAGCCGACAAATGTGTTCCCACAATAGATGTCGCACAGCGGGGCCGTGGCATCACTCTAAAATCTAAGAAAATAAGTAGCAGGGACGCAGGGAACGCTGGAGCAAAGAGACATTGTTGTAGGCCAACTGCAACGGTTAGAATCGCACCAGGTTTTGGGGTTGTGGAAGAAAACAAGATCTGCAGGAAACCAAAGTTTATGACACTTTTTGTTCATCATCTCTGCACCACTTTTATGATTTTGAAAGTCATTAGCCGGTAAACAAGCAACACTCGGGTTAAATGAGCACGTGGTCACAGAAGCAGGGGGTTATGGAGCCAAATCATTTTAAAAACAAACGTGAACCTGAAAGTTTTGTTGCTGAATATTGAAAAATACAAACAATGTATTCAAAATAAAAATAAGTAGACTCAGTTCTATATTTTTTTTGAATAAAATATTTTTTTTCAATCACCGAATATCATTTCGATATTCAGTGTATTGTATTTTTCAGTTGCCGATTTTATGTTTTCGGACTCAAATCTTATGTTTTCACTTTCAGAAGTCACTTGGAGGCTTCAACGCAACAGGTGCATTTACCAACACACTTTGTATCATAGAACACAAAATGTATTTTAAACTTGTGTCAACCAGACTTTCAAAATATATGAGATGAGAACTAAAAGTGCAGAAATTATAACTTATAGACGAAGCTAGATTGATTCTGGGCTACTGTGGAAACCTCGACAGCTCATTCGGGAGCACTTTTAGACTCGTTACTCGATTCAGTCTGCCTGTCTGTGACGACATCAGTAAGCAGCGGCAGCCGCGTGAACAACAAAACACAGCGTGGAGGAGACGACTCCGAGCGAGACATTTACTTTTTACTTAATCGATCCAGCGCGTGGAAACATTTGGGCTTTTGCAAACACGGAGGTGTTCTGAATTGATCCAAACATGTGTAATTATTGTGTAATGTTTACATTGAAAATGGTTGCACTTCATTCAAATAAAAGGTTAATACATTTGCCATTAATGTTGTTTGCTTGTTTATAATAGCCATAATTAATTTAAACCTGATTCCCTTACAAGAAACAACAGGGATCTCGATTTCAAGTCACTGAAATTAATCGTTCTAAATTAGCACAGATTGTCCATGAATCGAATCGGCAACCATGACTCGCGATTCGAATCGAATCTTTACACCCCTAATATACGTACATACATACACGTCTAGATCGCCTCCCCCCAAAAAACAAAGACAAGTTTTATCCCCATATTTTCCCACAGTCAACAAATTTTCCAACGATCAACCCAGTGGAGCCGTGGCTTGTACCGAAGCCCGGCTCAAACGTGATGAAGCCTCGTCGCTTGGTTCTCGCATGGGACTGGAGGGGCCTCCGGGGAGCCGTTGTGAAATGCCTCTGGCGTGATTTAAGGCCGGCGGGCCGTGATCCGGCGTGCCCTTCTAATATACTTGTCAGCGCACACTGTCAGCAGCCTTCAGCGAGCTGCATACCTGTTAATACAATTCCAGACCGCCGGGCCTGTCAGACGCAGCCCAGGCACTTTCACCCCCGGTGGTCCTTCCCGGCATGGACTCACCCCCCCACCCCACTGTCATGGGAAACCACTCCGAGAGCGGGCTCGTGACACCGCCACACAACAGCGTCTAACCAAAAGTTTACACCTTGCGCTCGGCTGAATGAGAAAAGCGCTGGCAGGTGTAGCGGCTTAATACCCCCCCTCTCCTTTCCTCTCACACGGACACATTTCTACACAGCTGAGTACACAGGCACATCTCTGCAGCTTTGATGAGCTTCCAGATCACATATTTGCTTTTTGATAACCTTCTTTTCCCCCCCGCCCCCCCAACTGGCAGCAGCAACGAGACGATCAGAGGAAAACCCTGAACAATAAGGGTGAGAAATAGGAAGCATTTCGCCCCTCTGAGCTTCACACGCCACTAGCGTGTGAAGCTCAGAGGCGGGCGTGGGGGAGGGGAGGGGAACGACTAATTCATAAACACTTTCCCACATGAGAGGCAAGGTGAGAAGACAAGGATCACACTGGACGGATAAAACTTGTTTGGTTGCTCTGAAAAAAAAAAAAAGGCTGCATGTGCAGCAAAAGAGCCGGCGGCCCGTTTACCAGAAGCTTCTCGCCCCCGGAGGCCCGGCTGACACAGCAAACCAGCGGGGAGGCTTGAGAGTCCGGCCACACAAGGAACCTTTAGTCACAGACACACGCACGCCCGGTGGAGTGGGAAAGTGAAACCCGTGACACACAGTTCACAAGCACCTCACTCTTTCCAATCAACAGAACGTGGTCTGTTTTGCATGCGAGTGCCCCTTGGTTTGTTCTATTTTAAAACCCAGACAGGTAAACAACCCCCCCCCCCCCCACACACACACACACACACACACTTAACGTTCACCCCCTCCCTGCCTAGTTTACGGTCAACCTGGAAACATGGGATGGGGGGTGTGATCGCAAAATAAAAAGGCATTTTGAAGAAATGTAGAAGCTTGCAGTTGGTTGGAGTTGAGGGTTTACGTGCTGAGAAGAAGTTGTGAGCTACAGTCCAGCTCAAAGCTGCAGTCAAAGAAGTACAGAGTGTTTACTTAAACGGGTAATCGCTCAGCTAAAATCGCTCACCACGACCTTGTGGTGACCATTGTTTGGCTGATGGGAGGATGTCGCAGACGCCGCATCTTAATGGAAGCATTCGCAAAGAAAAAGGTGTTTCTAAAGTAAACTAAAAGTGCGTGTTATTAGTGTTCATTTAGGAGCCCTTCTGGAAATAACAATATAACACTAAAATGCCAGTGTTAATCGGAAAATCTGGGGAAAGTTAACAAAATATGACTTGAAATCAACTGACCCTTTACCTACTTGGTGTAGAGCGTGGCGACTGGATCAGCCCCTCCACCCCCGGATAAACGCTTCCGGTTACCGACAACAATCCAGACTCAAATATTGTCTGCGTGTGCGTGATTATTTTGAGTAGAGACGTCTAATCTAATCAGGCTTATACGCAGCCGTATTTGTCGAGGTTCTTGTTTGGGATGTTTTACTTCTTAAATCCTACTGAGATTGTTTATTCGGACTCACCCTGTGCCAATAAAAGCTGCATATATATATATATATATATATATATATATATATATAAAGGTAGCTGAGTCATGGTAATGAATAAATAAGCACACTTAAATTTACTGTGGTGAGATTTGAAGAACTGGTTATAATATTACAACCAAACTTTATACGGTTAAAAAAGTTGTTTGCACGTTATTAAAATGCGTGTAGTTACATGAGCGACGTATCACTATGCAACCAGAACATTTTTCAGCAGTAGACTTAAATTAATACAAAAAGCATCACAGCATCAACGCAGCATGGAAAGAGCCCGGTTTCCCCCTGCGCGCGCGCGTGTATGTGTGTATGTGTGTGTGTGTGTGTGTGCGGGCGCGCGCGCGGCGGCGTTACTTACTCTCTGCGGTGGCGGGCCGGAGGCAGGACGACAGACCCAGCATCAGACCCCAAAACAAGGTCAAGCGGCTCCTTTCCGCCTGGGACCTCATGCCTGGATGAGTCAATCCGCCCAAATCCTGCAAATAAAAAATGTGGAGGGGAACGAACCGCGACCCAAACGTGCCCGGAATTATTCAAAAGACCCCTTTTCTTATGTCAAATCTCCAGCCAGTCCCCCTCTTTTTTTTTTACAGTTAGCCGGCTAATGGAGCTAATAGCTTCCACGGGCAGGCTAGCGGGTTAGCCTGCTCGCGTCTCCTAGCGGAGGGTCCACAGTCACTGGTTTATCCCTCGGACTGGAAAATGCGTATTCATGGTTCGGGTTTATTCCCGCCCTCAACGACGCCGCACTGGTGCGTCTAACGAAGCCGACGCGGTTAAACTGGCGGCGGGGAGTCCTCTGTAATCCGCATCTTCACACTCCATATCTGGTGGGGGGGGGGGACGTTCAACGTCCCCGCTGCTGGAGAATTCCTCGGGAGGCAGAAAACGAGTCACGCGCGCACCTAAACACGCGATGGAAAGAGCCCGTCTGTGGCGCACACGAACATGTTAAATTGATGCGCCAGCCTCCTCGTGCGAACGACACGACGTTTCTTTCGAAATATCCAGGATGGAAATGTAGTTTCAGACCGCAGCCTCCTCCTCCTCCTCAGCCGCTCATCGTGCACACGCGCACCGCGTTGTTGTTGTGGGAGCAATTCACCTTCATGTCAGCGGAAATATTGAATTTTTGACCGTATTATCTGGCGGAGGACCTGGGGTTATTCAACGCGCTCGGTGGATAGCTAGCGCTAGCTGAGCCGGGTGGCGTCGTCACACCGGTTGGCGTACAGGTACGTTCGCGGTCTCCTGCGACCCGTCCGCAGTCCGCCGTTGCTCGCTGTAAACACGGCGCCCTGCGCAGAGATCGTCTCTGTTTGCCAAGATGAATCACTCCCCGCTTCGGCCCCGCCTTCCCGTCCGTGTAAAGTGGGCGTCACTCTTACTGCAGTTTGGCGACGGTTACCATAGTGACTGGTCTGGTACTCCCAACGAGTCCGTTTTGTCCGTGTGCCTCTTTAATAACGCTGGAATATATACATATATATATGTGTCAACAACAGGGCACCGCGTGTCGTTACTCCCCAAAAAGGACCGCTTTGCCACGCCAGCTTTATACGTACATTTGCATCAGACAATTGGGTGTTTTGTCTGTGTTATCATTCGTTGCTAATCTACGACTGCGACACTAACAACCATACTTTCCAATTCGCCGAATGCGATATTATTTGCGGTGCGCTGTTTCTTAGTCCAGACACCGTCACGGGTCTAAAATGTAGACGGAGTGAGACCTCAGACTACCCCTAAACTCCGTTTACGAGGTGCGAAGGAAATCCGGGAAGCTGATCCAGGATCGGGGTTGTTTTGCTGCTAACAAACACGCAGCAGCGCAGGGTTGCCTGCACAAGGATCGTGTCTGTCTGCACCACCTGTAATTACCCTCCTGCGTCCACGCAGTCACAGCCGTGTCTTTATGTCTGTGCTGGTGTGAGCCCGCGATTCATAGTCTAATGGAATCGTGAAACGTGCAAATATCTATTCAGTCATTGTATTCACCAAATTGCTTTCGAGGGCCTGAGTTATGTCTGTCTTATTGTTATACAGCTAATACAATGACACACGAGGGAAATGTTGTTTGCACATGATATACGCTGTTATCTATTTACCTTTGTTTGGTGTTTTAGAGAACTTTCCAAATCAAAACAAATAACCACATTGATCACCCCAGTGCCTTGGAATACTATATCACAAAATGCATCACCTAAGTCTTTTGGAGCTTGCTTGGCAGCAGCAACTCCTGCAAAAACATTTGCCCCAGGGTTTTCCCTGGAAAGACACCGAAATGCTGCCATCTTGAGGAAAAAGGGAACCAACTGCAAGCTTCAAATCTACTGTCATCTACTGTACATCTCAAGACGGGGGGGATAAAAGCTCTCATTTGCTGAATTAATGAAAATGTCTTCCCTTCTGAAACATGTTGTTATTATGCAGGGCCACAGTGGCCATAGGGCCAAAACCCATGAAAGTGTTGATGCTTGGCCTTGAGCCACAAACAGGATTGTCAGCAGTTCACCTTGGCCTCGCATGGCCTATCGAGCGCCAAACACATCCACAAAACTGAGAGGCTAAATGATCCCATACCGCAGCCCCAACATCTAAATATACAGGTGGACTCATGTGCCGGGAGTTTAAAACCACTCACCTCATCCCACTTATTTTGAGACGCAGTCAGGTACAGTTTCAAGGCTCCTCTGTGTCCAAGGAGATTACGATGCTGTGAAAGGAGCAGACGGTAAACAAAAAAAGGCACAAAAGAAAAAACCTGACCGTTTCAATTATCGAGGCCGCTTTCATCAGTTCACAGAACAGGAGCACGGATTATTCGAACGCCGCACATTACCTCAGCTCTGGCAGACAGCACTCGGCATCCGTCACACCCCAACAATTAGCACTGGAGAGAAGAAGACAAAAGGAAATGCACATTAAAGCTGAAGTGAATATCAGTGGCCACCCAAGAGTCCAGCATACAGTGAGTCACCCTCTAACAAGCGCTCACTGTACCAACATGACCTCCCTGTGCCAGAGAATGCTGTGCCTGTCCACTTGCATTTGTTAAGTCCCCATTAAAGTCCCCATGAAGGGAGCCGGCGGGCCCACCTACCTCGACTGTCCCGGTTGAATCCATTCTCGCGCCGCACTCATGTGGAAATAAGCCTGTTTACCACCAACGGGTCACACATGCTAATGAGCGTCTGTTTGTTTTCCAATGTGCTCATGCAGGAGGAAGGGAATTTAGAGGGGAAATAATAGACGATATGCAGACAACAGCCCGGGTGGCTTCGCTGCGCTAATGATGAAAAACGTACAACAGAGAATTAATGGATATGAAATCAGAACAGGAAATGCGGTCTGACTGTTTGATGTTCGCTGGGTTCTGATCACGCAGAGATGTTGAGTGTCAGGTGGCCTGGTTTGGAGGCAGTGGGGTAGTTGTGGCTCAAGAATCCCGCTGATGGGCTGATGATGGACCCAAAGACCCAATGAGCTTTGCTTCAGGAACTTCCAACTGATATATGAGGTATGGTATGATGTTGCATTTGATACTTTTTTAGACCATAAACTGCAGATCCTAAGCTCATGAGTCATGACACAGCGACAACCGAAGTCCGGTTTTATCATTTTCTGTTTTGCTTTTGTCGGTTGAAATCACATCTCACTCGTTTCGGCTCTCGTTGCTTGCAGCTTTCGTGAGAACCGCTCATCCAACAATGTCACACTAAACAGTGTGTTTCCTTGCGCCCTGAGCAGCACACATGCCATGAAATACACCCAAAGGACCACGGAATAAGCCTCGTTGAAGGGAAAAAACACCTAATTCTTCCACTGGTTGTTAGACGTCTTCACAAAGACACCCGTTTCGATCGGCAAGCCTTCTCTACTCTCGGGTTGTAAACTGGTGGCCCTTCAGGGCTGTGTGCTCGGCCCCCTCCTGTTCACCCTGTACGTCCGCAACTGTTACCTCAAACATGAGAACTATGTTGTGAAGTTTGCAGACCTTGTAGAGTGGTGCTTGGAGAACAATCACTGCTTAATGTAAGACAAACCAAGAAGCTGATTGTTAGCCTTTAGGAAAAAAAGCGACCAAGAAACAATCATCTCAAATACCATTAAATTCCTGAAAATCAACAACCAGTCATCGCAAGTCTCCATCCTGGTGAAGAAAGATTGTAAGTGGCAATATATTTTCGAAGGAAACTTGTGCCCGTGCCAAAGTCCTATCAGATCTTACAGAGGAATAACATAGTTATTGTTATTGTTGTGTAGGGGTGCCTGTAAAGAGCAGAAATTCGATTAAAAGACAAAAGCCACTCCAGCTACAACCCTGCTGCCGACTGGAAACAGATACAGAAGATGAAAACCCTCCTCTGTGCCAACAAACGAAAATGATCTGTAGATAGTTTGCCGTTGTGCAGCACATGATTGCACATGAACATAATGTGTCCATTTTATACACGGCAAGTTCAGTTCCAGGGACGTTTAACTTAAGGACTATTACCTACTGCTAAAATAAAAATAAGATTTGTAATAGGACGAGCACAGATGTGACTGATTACATTAACGATGGTTGAGTTCCATTAAAGTGTCCCGTTGAGGGACGACCCACATGGTGCCTGCACACGTCAACGTGAATCAGATACATCGGTCTACGACTGCTTTTCCTGCTGTTTTCACAGCTGCTCACCTACTCGTCAAAATGTCTTCAGTGAATAAGGCCCCTTGCTTTGTGATAAGGGACAAACTTTTAAATGGTGTCTTGTTTCACATGGTGGTCAGCGTCGAATGAATTAATTGACCATGTTGGAGTTTGCAATGCACTTATGAAGAAACTTGATCAAGATTAATGGCTAGGAACTTTTTACCATTGGCCTTTTATTGAGTTTTTTTTACGTTAAACTCTGTTGCTTGCAAACAAACTCTCCTGACGGCTGCTAGTCACGACACAGGAAGGCACAGCTAGTGTGATGTCACTGCTTTGAGATTTCAAGGCAGCGTGGAAACAAAGATACAAAGAGTCCAGTAAATAGCGTGATGCCTCAGTTACTGGTGAATTAGTCACAAAGACTGCGAAGATTATGTAATGTGGCGGTAAAGATTCTCAGAGCTCCTGATGACACATGGGAAACAGAGAAAGAGGGGCCGTATAAAATAAAGCCTTAATGGGAAAATCATTAAATAAAATAAGCATCAATAAATTGTTATATCACAGCGTTCTAACGAATCCAAAGATATGTCCTTTAAGTATTGTGATATTGTAAATTGTAGTGTTGTATTGTATTATTTTGGAAACAGAAACATTCCACTAAGACTAGAATCAGGTACACAAAAAGGTTTTAAGTGAATTACTGCTACTAAGTGTACTATGGATCTATTTTTTTCACATTTAACTAGATCAATTTAATCTAACACATCGTGTCTAATCTAACACTTTGATATCTGACTCAGATTCCTGCTTACACGGTTCTAAAAAATACTCTAATAGGTTTCTGGTCATCTGAGTGTAGTCGCGCCTTCATTTCTCGCCATCTCCGTCCTTTTCCTGCCCGGAACAAATAGTCTGAGGCGTTCGTCAGCGGTCGACTGCTGAATGTGGTGACACAACCGGATGTTGCTGATGCGCTCATCCGGCAGCTGAGAGGCTTTGCGCATCCTAGCTAACGTTAATCTTAACCTCAAGGTTTTAACATTTTAACCATAACTTCATATTGCTGTTTGACAACACAAAAGAACCGCCATGATTAAAGCCATCCTGATATTTAACAACCACGGAAAACCGCGGCTGATCAGATTCTATCAGTATTTTGTAAGTATTTGTGTTCAAAACGTTAGCGCCTCTCTGTTGCTATGCTATGTTTACTCTTTACTTTGTGCCAGCTGGGCACACATCTTTCCAATATTTACTTACAGGTGTGTTTGTCTGTGTTGGACCTGTTTGTCATTAACCAACTTGTCACCTCTTATTCAGGCAAACATCGCTCTTTGTAACACATTTAACAATGTACACGTGTACCTGCAGTATTAAACGGTTGGGATTCGCTTTTATCTTCATCGGTTATTATTAACTCCTCCAGTTTCTCCTAAACACAAACACCCCGTAATGACAAGGTGAAAAATGTTTTGGGGACATTTTTGCAAATCTATAAAAAATAAAGAACGAGAATACAACATGTACATTTTCTATTAGTGCCAGGACGCTCAGAATTGAAGTGCATTCTGTTTCCACTGGTCATCCACTCTGCAGCACTCAACAAAGCAGGCCTGTATTTATGAAATAAATTTATGAAATGCAGAAGCCACTGCTCGGTAAAAAGCACATGACAGCCCGCATGGAGTTTGCCAAAAGAAACCCACACAGATCTCTGGTCTGATGAGACAAAGATTGATCTCAGGCGAGCCAGGAATATGACTTCAACCAGATTGAACATCCAACCTGATGGGAGGTTGAGAGGTTCTGCCAAGAAGAATGGGAGAAACTGCCCAGAAATAAGTGTGCCAAGCTTGTAGAATCAAACTCAACAAGACGTGAGGCTGTAATTGTTGCCAAAGGTACTTCAACAAAATACTGAGAAACGGCTTTGAATACTTATCTGCATTTTATATTTTTGTTCTTTATTTTTAATACATTTTTAAGAAATGTGCATCAAGCTTTTTTTCACTTTGTCATTTTGGGGTATTGTGTGTAGAATCTCGAGGAAATAATTCTGAGATGCACTGTATATTGCTGCCTATTATCAGACCGAACTGAGTTTATTTAGACACGACGCAATGCTACTTTACTCCCCAAGTGAATCTATTAAGCAAACTCAGACTACATTTTCATGATTGGTTGGCACATAACAGCCTCACGTTTTCTTACAGACGGAGGACATGCAGCAGCAGATCATTCGGGAGACTTTCCATTTGGTATCTAAAAGAGACGACAATGTCTGCAACTTCTTGGAAGGTGGAAGGTGAGAATTTCTGTTTAACCAGCTACCAGTAGGTCAGAAAATCGCACTTTGAAAAGGGAATAACCAAGCACGTATTCCTACTTTTTGTGCATCTAAAAAGCCTGTCGGGTGTCTGTGGTGATGGATTCCCCAATTACAAGCAAGCTGCTGCGACTCGTTCTTTTATGTTGGGATCGTAAATATACGAACCCCTGGCCCATCAGGTTGTCCCTCAGTCTGATTGGACAACCTTTGGCAGTGAAGATGAGCAGCGGATGACTGCGGCTGCAGTAGCATGAATTTATCCATAAGATGGAAGCAAAACTCACAAAAGCGGACCGGGACTCTTGTGCACTTGTTTTCATTTCTCTAATCCTCTCATTTATTCATAGCAAACTCTTATTTGTTTCATTCCCTGCTGTCACAAGCACAGAGCTGCAATCCTCTTATAACGTTGCGTGTTTGTTTCCTCCTCGCAGTCTCATCGGTGGCTCCGACTACAAGCTCATCTACCGGCACTACGCCACCCTCTACTTTGTCTTCTGCGTGGACTCGTCTGAGAGTGAGCTCGGCATCCTGGACCTGATCCAGGTCAGCTTATTCTCTATTTAAAGACAAATGTGTAGGGTTTTCCATGGCCCCCCAGCTGCTTAACAAGCTCCTTACTATTATATAATGCTGCATCTGATTCATTTGTTGCCTCCTCACTGGTTGCTTTTAGTGCCGGGGATCTGAGAAATGAAACTTCACTTCTTCATGGAAATCCCTCTGGAGGAGATGATAAACAATAATGACGAAAACAAATATGTATCTATTTTATTTTGGATAGCTCACAAGAGGCCCAACTTATCCACACCCACACAAATTAGTGCCTAAAGTCCTCCCACTGATCGCTGACATCAGGTATTTATCAGCAGCGAGTCAGCATCAATGAATGGGAATAACAGCCGAATAAAAGACATGCAAAACAAGTGACTCCCAGAGAGTGTGCCAACACATTGCCATGCAAAAGTGGGAATAGGGACCGTCTGTACTTCACTTATTCAGCAGATTAATTAGAACTATGATAACAGTCTCTGTACGATAACAACATCTGAATTTTATTTGAGACGTGTGACAAATGAACTTCTTCTCTCGCTTCCTCATTCGTAGGTGTTTGTGGAGACGCTGGATAAATGCTTTGAAAACGTCTGCGAGCTGGACCTCATATTCCACATGGACAAGGTGAGTGGGGGTCGTGCTCGGAAGCAGACTCAGCAATAAGAAAATGATTGAAGAGAAAGACATTTTGCAGGAGGGCCCAGACTCAGTAACTAGAAGTAAACAAGGTCAGCGAAGGCCGCTAGGTCAACGTCCACGTTGGCAAATCATTTCATCGTCACACACTTTATGGGTGCGTGCCTGTGCCAGCGTATCGGTGCGGCCAAACGTATATTAAAAGTACAGTGTGCCCTGAAACGTGTTGCCTGAAGCATCAGTGGGACCATAGGAATGTTTTGTTCACGTTCACTCCATTATGATTACAGTACATGTGCCAAGTCTCTTGCGGCGGAGTGTTCTAAATGGTTTTGTTTTTTGTATTCAGTAAATGTGTGGGATGAGGGGATCTTTGTGTTTGTGAGCGAGCAGGCAGGATCCCCGAGTGAACATGTGGCGTAGTTGCGTGTGTGTCTTGGACCTCTCCATGCGGCCAGCTGCGCCGCTGCAATCGATCCAGTTCCTTTCACCGTCCGGGCCCAGAAGCTCTTTTTTTTTTTTTATTGGAGTAAAAAAAAACGAGGCTCTGGAGATCATACGGTCGATGTTGTTGTTGTTGTGGTAGATCTCTGAAAGGCCTCTTTTGCTCGTGGGTTTTCTGTTGTGAGAGCTACAATGGTTTGGTTTGGAAGCCGTCTGTGTTCAAGGTTTCTCCTCGCAGACGATTTGTATTTTAAATAATTGCATCTGATTAGTGCGGAGACGACTCGGAGAAGGATCCCCCCGCACCGCACAGCGTGGGCCTTCTCTTCTCCACCTGGAGCTGATCCCGGAATGATGCCCAGAGACTAATCGCATACATGTACACGACCATCTTGATTGAATTTCCTCAGCAGGAAATTGTTGTCATGTGGTGCAGTAGGAGTTTGGCGTGAGGAATGTTCCCGAGGAGGAATTGGGAAATGTTTTTACCAGAGACTTTTGCTTTGCAAGCTGGACAACACTTCACTGCATTGCCTGTGTATCTAGCTTACTATATACTATACATTACTAATTTCAAAGGTGCTCCAGGAGTGCTCGCTGTCCTTTCTCATCCATAACTCATTAGACGGTGTCATGTTCCACAGTTAGGCTCTCTGCCCTCAGGGATTTACGGCCCTCAATGTAAGAGGGAGCGTTTTAAACTGCGGGTGAGCCACGGCAGCGGCGTTCCAGTCACGACTGAATTCTCCAACATTGGGTTTTTCCGTCTCTCGCCCCCCTTTGTAGCGTTTGGTGTAAAGAAACACAAATGAGCCGAGGAATGTTCAGATGCAGGATGGTGTGACGCCGAACGTCCCGCCCCTTCTAAACCGTTGCAGCTGGCTGCGGTTTCTATTATATTTTTCGGTGTGACATCCAAGTGTTCAGTTGCATTTAACCCGAAGACACCCTGAATGGCCGTGTGCTAACTGATGTGTGTCGTCCGTCCGCAGGTCCATTACATCCTGCAGGAGGTGGTGATGGGAGGCATGGTGCTGGAGACCAACATGAATGAGATCGTGGCCCAGGTGGAAGTGCAGAACCGCTTGGAGAAGTCCGAGGTCAGTCTGTTGTGACATTAAACATCACCTTCGCCATCAGCCTGCCAGCAGACTGCTCGCAGCCGGGATTTGTTTGAGTCAAACGGGTCTCGTGATGACGTCGTGTTGTTGAAACAACGGACCAACCAGAGCTTAGCTGGCTTAGAAGCTGGATTGTGGATATCATCTTCCCACTACCTTCTTAAAAAGGCAAGCGTTGATGAGACTGACTGACTGAAATAACACGTGACATAACTTGAGGGGAATTTATCACACATTTTGGTGTGTAAAATCATTTCTGTGATTGTTGGAAAAGAAGTTAAGCAACCGCTGCCGGTGATTGCTACTGCAGCTTCTGGTCCATAGAAGTCTGTAGTACAACGTTTTGGGAAGTACAGTTATTTTGTTATTTCTGATCAAAATAGGCTACAACCCCGACAGGGTTAGCTTAGCATTATGACCTGGTGGAATGTCTAGCAGATGTTTCTTCAAAGGTATACAGACTACTACTAGAACTCAATCATTTACAAGTGTCACAGCAGGTAAATCTTTAGACGAGTTTTCAATCGGCTGTAATCACACACAGATTGTGCTCACGGAGGCTCACAAGGTGTTTTCCACTCCTTGTTTCGGCAGGGAGGTTTTTCAGCGGCACCCGCTCGCGCCGTCTCTGCTGTGAAGAACATGAACCTGCCCGAGATTCCCCGCAACATCAACATTGGAGACATCAATATCAAAGTGCCGAGCCTCTCCCCGTTCTGAACAGCCTGCTGAGCTCCGCAGGGCTGATGTACTACTGATGCTGCTCCGCTCCGCCCAGTTCTGTTGTTCCTACGGGGAAAACCAGAGCAGCTTCACGTGTGTCATCATGGGACCACGGCAGCTTATTCTCTTCCATCATCCTGATCTTTTCATATGAACTGGCGACAAGCAGTGGACTTTATTTGAGTTCTGTTTAACACATGTTGCAGGTTGAGGCCCGTTGAAGGATTTGCACGATAATGTAAAGTTGATTCTATAAAATATCATGAGGATTTTTAATATATATGTATTTCCTCCTATTCATCTTATTCTTGGTTTTACCCGGTGGAATTCCTACTCTCTCCAGAAGAAGGACTGTGTTGGCCCGGTGCCCATTTTTCTTGCTCAACTTGTCCAAATCTCATCATTCATCAGCCGTCGTACTTTCTGGGGATCGAAAACTTTCCCCTCTTTTTGGATCGAGCTTTGTTGGACTTTCACCATAATAAGATATTTTGTTTTCAGCATTGTGTTACAATAACTCATCTCCTGTTGTGTGTGTGTGTGTGTGTGTGTGTGTGTGTGTGTGTGTGTGTGTGTGTGTGTGTGTGTGTGTGTGTGTTAATACAATTTGGGATTAGACTCCACTTGGCTCCTGACAAAACTTGTTTCGTAATATATTATCTCCTGGACATCCTCGTAATTTGCAAATGACAGTATGGCTCCCCTGGGTGCAGCAAATGCAAATGCATTGTAGTTACAGCCAAGCTGTAATGTGCTGCAATAGTATCTGTTCAGAGAGGCAGAGAGTCTTGTGTGTTTGTGACCCTATTCCCCGTTGTTTTTTTTGTGATTATGTTTGTTCAAGCTGGTAGAGTTTCACTGTCACGTCCTGTCAAACCAGTCTGTGCTAAAGACTTTGAGCGACGTTGCAAGTTAAGTGAATAAAAATACCCCTCCCCTCCCACGGCTGTGCTTTGCTTTTTTTTAAATGTATTTTCTATACCTCCGTCAGCAGGTATGCGGAGTCACCGGGATGTGGTGAACCTTGATACCTGGTCAGCACACTCACTGCATCAGAGGATCAGAGTTCTTTCTGCTCCACCACATTGTCATGTTGATACAGCCGCATTCTTTCAGTCGCCACCCCTCCTCCCACCCCGCACTATTTTAGGTTTTTTTTTTTTGGGGAGCTGTTCCCGCCCCAACATCCCCTGGAAAGACCTGTGGTCAGATCTCACCACCTCCCACACCCACTCTCACAGACGCAGGCTGTGAGTGATTCACATCTGTCCCGGGATCGTTCCAGCTCAACCTCTGTGTCTCATGCTGACTTAAACCAGAGCACGGGGTGGACGTCCAGCTACACACGGTTTGGTATGTACTGTTCTCCCACATGTTAACATTTGAAACGCGCTGCATGCTGAGTTTACTCCTTCTACTGCAAGCTGTGCCTGATACTACCTGCCTGCGCCTCAGCTTCCCAGCCGTTGGCATCTGTTGCAGCTCCTTTGTTAGTAGTATGCATTATGCAAACCGCTGGACTCGTTGGCTCTGCTGTGGATTAATCGGTGGTCAACATCCAGCGCATGTAGTACGGGAGGTGAGCTGCAGTTCTCACAGCTGGCTGAAACTTGTGAGCACCAAGTGGAGCGGAGCGCGCAAAGAGCCGATGGTGTGGGCCGCAGATAAGAGGAACACGGCACATAGAAAGGCAACGTTTGAGACAGTGTGGACAAAGCACGCAAATAGAATGAGCCAAAGTCACGCCGGTGATGTACTTCTTCACATAACGCAGATTAGCAGCAAAAGGCAGGTGTCCAGTTCAAGTCCTTCCCAGATGTTTTGGTCAATTCACAGTCCATGTTTTACTTGGAAGTTACAAGCCGTAGACATATTTACACATGTTTTTTTCTCTGGCTGTTTTTTTTTAATACATTTTCTCATAGTGTTTAAAATCCGTGTGTTAGTCCCCAGAATGAAATGAGGCAGTGACTGAATCCAGTCCTGATGGAAAGAAGTAGTTGCTGAACTAACTAGCAGATCTCTACTATAATCATAGGGTGGACATACACCCTACGATTATCAGCTTTATGAAGACACATTAATGGCATTAAAAGATTTTTATTAGTTCAGAATTCTGCCTTCGTACTAGAGATGTTTTCATGTTTCAGACGCTCCGTGGCAGAAGGCATTTTTCATATTTGTCTGAGTGTGGTCTTGTTCTGCAGTTCACTAATTCTAGATGCTCTTTACTTGTTGGATGATGACTTTCTGTTTCCCGTTTAGTGATCATAAGATAAGTGTATGCAGATTTCGTTATCTTATCCTCTCGTTTATTGCTACCGGGTAGTAATAAGCTGTTATACACCGGACAGGGTAAATAAAAAAGGTATCTTTTTTCAAAAATGTGGCTTTTGTAATAATCCAATGGACAAGTATCGGTCAGCAAATAAAGCCTAAAAATAGATCCAAGAACTTTGTGGGCTGTCTTCAGTCAGCCGCGGTCAATTACTTACCTTTAAAAGAAATATTATCTCTAGCTGTAGCCTCTCTATATTATCACACATACATTGTATTTTACAGCAAATTTAATTCAGTTATTATTATTACTATTATTTTTTAAGTTACAAATCTTCCTCAGAGGGCTTTACAGTTTGAACACATCCGATATATTCCTGACCCGAAACCCTGTGGGGAAAATCTCCCCGAAAAAATGTTTTGATGGGGGGGGGGAAGGTACAATACGTTCAATTGCTGCAAACCTGCAGGGAGGGAAAGACGTCAGGAAAAAAGCAAAGCCCGTAATGTTGCTTTATGATGACAGTAATAGTAATGTGATTAATATTAATAATGATGAAGTAAGCAGCAGCAGGTGTCAGGAACAAGGTCCAGATAGATCCAAGGAAACCTGTGAGGCGAGAATTCACAAATACTGCTTGGAAGAAACAAAGTGATGTGCGGTAATGTTGACAGTAACAGTATTAATGGTGTTCGAAGTCCGGACCAGATGTAACTATGATCCATAGAAACACAAAAACTCCGGAGGAGGAGCTGAATTAGTGATGTGCCTTAATGAGACAGGCCTGTAGTTACAACACACAATGATTTACCATCAGTTTAAGTTAACTTAACCTGTCTGGGACACATTAAGCAAGTCATTTGTTATGAAAATAGCTCCGTTTTTGTCAAGTGGATGCCACTAGAGTCAAAGTCCAGAATGAACATGCGTTGAGTCACCCCTAACCCTAACCCTGAGTCACAGATTGAATAGATATTTCTATACAACTTGAGAGATGTGCTGATCGCTGCGGCCACTGATACTTCTCCCACATGTAAGATAATAGCACGTATGTTGGGAAAGACTTTTATGGCCTACAGTTTATGAGTTGGGACTGCATGTGGAAGGCTGGTGCTAATGTCAAAGAATGTCAAGGTTTGTCACCGGCTGTAAATGTTGTTTAGCAATAAGATGTTTTATGATGTACCGCCGATATCGTCGGGTCCTAACAAATTGTTCTTGGCTGTACAGAAGTGAAACGCGGTTAAGCTCAGTTGTAAAATAAAGCAGATACTGTCTGCTGGTTATTGTTTTAACCAACATCAATGACAGACACAAGACAAAAGGTTTATGACATGTATGTATTTCAAATAGAAAACACAACGAGGGGAAATATGTAAAATGGCACATTAGTCATAGACAGCAATGTGCACAGCAAGAAGGTCATTAGATCTTATTCATGTTTACAAATAAGACTTCTTGGTGAGAAACTAGATCTACTGTTCAGAGATAAAGTTTGAAGAGCGTCAGAGGTTAAAAGAACAAACCACTTTCCAAAAAACACTTGTTACAAAAAGCAAAAACCCATAATTGAGATGACTGTGGTGCAAATCGGCAGACAAACACCGGGTTTATTCCGTACTGTGGAACAACAACCCGTCCTCTCCTCTGCTTCCCCACTGGCTGCTTTTCCATCCGCTGTGCTGCTGCGGATAGAAACGTTGTGCATGTTGCCATATGATCTCTGCGTGTTCTCTGGTGGGCCACGCAAAAGTAACAAAAAGGAGTGGTGAATATATTTAGTAAATCTTCTGGTGGCAGAAAACTGTTTAAATATGAGTTGTGGATGCTGTGAATTTGTGTTAATCGAATTACCGAAGACAATTCACAAAAATCTGATTAAATAACACTTTTACACTCCAACAACTGTTCACTCCAACACACACATTTTGCACCTTTTCTAAAATTTGCTGACCAGCAGACTAAATAACCAAGGTCATTTTTCAATTTCTCCTCAGGTCCTAAATTGCCTTTTTTGCCATGTCAATAGCTCACCCATTAACCGAGAAGCAACAAAACCTGCTGTGCCGGACCAACACAGACTGAGACCCCTCTGAGCCCCTCTGCTCCCCCCTGAGACGGACATGGGGAAAGTCTACTATGTCAGTAGAAATGTTGGCCTCGGGATGCTGGTGCTGGCCGTCACCGCTCTGGTCACGATCATAGCTCTGTCCGTCGCCTACGACAAGGCGCGAGCCGAGAATGGAGGCGAGCCCGGAGACGCGGCGGCAAGCGGCACCAGCGCGCCCGCCCGCTCCCCCACCCCCTCCGCCCCCGAGGAGCCCTGGGACCACTACAGACTTCCGGACGCCCTCCTTCCCGTCACCTACAATGTCACCCTGTGGCCCCGGCTGAAGCCCGACGCGAGCGGCTTGTACGTCTTCACCGGCCGGTCGGCGGTGGTCATCAGATGCGTGAAGGAGACCGACCTCATCATCATCCACTCCAACAAGCTGAACCTCACCGGCCCCCACGGGCACCATGCTGCGCTGAGCGGCCTGGGAGAGGCCATCGCGCCCGCCATACAGAGGTCTTGGCTTGTCGTGGAGACGCAGTATCTGGTGATTCAGCTACACGGCAGACTGGCCGCCGGGGCGTCGTACGTGCTCAGCACTGAGTTTAAGGGGGAGCTGGCGGATGACCTGGAAGGCTTCTACAGGAGTGAATACACAGAGGGCGGTGTGACAAAGTAAGCATTGGCGCCATCGTCGTGATCGAAAGGGAATGAGCGACCGACAGGGTTTTTGCTTTCCCCATTTTCATCAACCCGGGTGGTTTTGGTGTGATTTGCCTTGTGTTCTCAGGATGGGGCGTTTTTTTGTTTCCCAAATCGCCAAAGACCCATTTTCCTGATTGGAAATTGTGTTTAACTGTAGATATAATTGCCATGGCTCCAATCTTCCCCTCGGTGCTACAAGTGCCGGTCACGTATTCCGCCTCGTTGCTTTCTCTTCTGTGTAAAAGCTTCATTTGGCCATTTTGCAGAGTTGTTGCTACCTCACAGATGCAAGCTACGTATGCCAGGAAAACATTCCCCTGCTTCGACGAGCCCGCCATGAAGGCCGTGTTCAACATCACCGTCATCCACGAGCCGAACACCATCGCTCTGTCTAACGGCATGGAGACCGGTTGGTTTCAGAAACACATCTTTCTAACTTGTTTCACATCACAAATCTCTACAGAATCGAGGTCATTTCGAAAACAAAGCCATGAAACACAATCACGCACAGAAATAGTGCTTGGAATAAGATGAATCACATGCTCCTGATGAAGGTTACTTCCAGGTCAGAGTGTGCTGTGTGAGACAACTCTGGTCTTCCCTGAACAGGCACTAAAGACGACCTCATCGACGGTGAGCCGGTCAGAGTGACAACATTTGAGCCCACAATGAGAATGTCCTCATATCTGCTGGCGTTTATCGTCAGCGACTTTGATAGCATTAAATCAACCATGAACAACGGATTGTTGGTAAGGTGTTTTTTCCTTTCGCCTTTTCACATTACCAGTGTGGTCAACACATGAATTAATTCGGATCGTAACGCTGAACAAAGTATTTTTAAGGGTCAGAGGTCACGCCATCTAGATAACATTCCTGTGACCCCGATATAAAAAAACCTTTTTTCCTTTTTTTTGTGGGTTTTCACCGACTTGAGGCTGATTCATTCTTTACAGATCCGGATTTGGGCTCGAAGAAAAGCCATAGAAGACAAACAGGGCAACTACGCTCTCAACATTACAGGGTCGATCCTTCAGTTCTACGAGAGCTACTACAACGCAACATATCCGCTCTCGAAGTCAGGTAGGCAACTATTTATCCACATGCCGTGTGAGGATAGAAAGTGGACCTCATTTCTTTTAACCCACTTAGCTGAAAGTGAAAACTAGTTTCATGGCAATGCAAAGAGCATTAGGATTCATCCTCTCCGGGCCGTTAATGTCCTTACAAAATGCCGTGGCAGCATTAAATAACCTTTGGTGTATATCTCAGTCTGGATTGAGTTCATATGACAGTGTTACCATCCCAAGCCATGCACATAATACATATTTATGATGTCTCGTCTCTGCTCAAGCTCATTTCAAAACCTTGATTGTCAGCAAACATATAATTAGACGATATATACTCAATGGGTTAATAGGTCCTTCAGGGTTGAATTTATTAATTAAAAAAAAATAAAAAGTATTAATCCGAGAGCATTTAAACCTCACGTTACTTCTATTTTCCCAACCAACTTTTATCAAATACACAAGGTGGATGGTTAACAGCCAAACAAGTTGATTCTACTGCATCAAGTACTTATCATGGGATCAGACAAAATAAATGGCAAATTTACCAGCGTAATCTTCTTGGACGTCATGATGATGTCTGAATTGTAAGGTAACGTTCAAATGCTGAAGAATTGGCTGATTTTTGATGCAGTTCTTTTCATCCCCAGATCAGATCGCTCTGCCTGACTTCCACGCTGGAGCAATGGAGAACTGGGGTCTGATCACCTACAGGGAAACGGCCCTGCTCTTTGACCCCATCATGTCCTCAACTGGAAACAAAGAGAGAATCACAACTGTCATCTCCCACGAACTCGCACACATGGTAGGCCTGACAAATTGCCACCATTGGATCTTATTCAATTTAAGTGATCGAAGTACATAGTTAGGACACCCGATTGGGACAAATTCAATCTCAGCTGCACCCGACTCATGTTGTAAACATACAAATAAGCCTGTGCACTCAACCTCCCTTTACAAAGACAGATCACTAGGGACAAATAAGCCCTGCTCCCTTTTTAGATCTGTTGAAAGCCTGACATCATAAGTGACACGTCTCTTGGTTGGATATTTCTTGAGTTGAACTTGAGTTGAAGTGGCCAAAATGGCTACTTGCTGTCATACAGCAGCAGTTTCCATGGAAACGTTAGATCCTTGAAGCTTAACTGAGGTGAACCGGTTGCTGTGGTGGAGCGCTTCATCCCTTTCCCTGCACGCGTCGTGTTTTTGTTTTCAGTGGTTTGGCAACCTGGTAACCATGAAGTGGTGGAACGACTTGTGGTTAAACGAGGGCTTTGCATCATACGTGGAGTACCTGGGAGCCGACCACGCCGAGCCCACCTGGAGCATGGTAAGACCCAGGCTGGTACCTTTGAAAGATGCCGGGCCTTTTCAATTGTATTGGTCAGAAAACGTTTCCTTGTTCATCCCTCTGCTTGGCCGCAGAAAGACCAGATCATACTGCACGAAGTGCACAAGGTGTTTGCGATGGATTCCCTGGCCTCCTCGCACCCCCTGTCCCGTGGGGAAGAGGAGGTCAACACTCCCGCTCAGATCAGCGGGATGTTCAACAGCATCTCCTACAGCAAGGTCTGCTTCTCTAACGATATCCCATACCTAATCACATAAAAGGTGCACGCGTAATACAATGTTACCTTTTCACACATTTGTCAAAATGGTAATTTATTTGTGTTGAGTAGGGAGCCTTGTTGTCCCGTGAATCTTATCATTTGCCGAACCAGGAGCCCAGTTGCCTCATTGTGGAAACATCCTAAGGGTTTCTGATGGTTTCTGTGTTGTGTGCTGTCAGGGAGCGGCGGTGCTCAGGATGCTGTCAGAGTTTCTCACTGAGCCTGTGTTCGCCAAAGGACTCAGTGTGAGTATTGAGGCTTTTAAAGGGCCTCGTCACTTCATGACTACTGCCCCTGTGTGTGTGTGTGTGTGTGTGTGTGTGTGTGTGTGCATTCATTTTCATTCATTCTAGTGTGTGTGAGTTCACTTTAAATATTATTCACTGTCTCCTCTCAGTCGTATCTGAACATGTTCGCCTACAGCAACACAGTGTACAGAGACTTGTGGGACCATCTCCAACAGGTCGGTTCAGTTAAACACTGCGATTGTCACCTGGGAATGAGTCCGTGAGCGTGTTTCAACTTCATTGGCAACTCTTTGTTTGTTGTCAGGCAGTTGAAAGCACACCAGGTGTGCATATTCCTCACACCGTCCACGACATCATGAACCGCTGGGTTCTCCAGATGGGCTTCCCAGTGGTCACTATTGACACCCGGACAGGAAGTATCACACAGAAACACTTCCTGTTGGATCCAAACTCCGTCGTGAACGAGCCCTCTCAGTTCAAGTATGAATCAGTTTGACCATATCCTCCAAGTTCCATGTACTTAACAGAAGGTACACGTTCCCGTGTACCTTCTAATGGGAGCGTTAATCGCTTTTTGTAGTATTTGGTTAATTAATGCAAATTTTGAATTTTTTGACAAAATGTACGAGGACCACCAAAATGATCACAATACATCATCAGGGGGACACAAAAAGAATAGTGGATTACCAAAATCAACATGATTATTTCTCTTTAGGCCATGAATATCTCTTTTTTTTTCTTTACAGCCCGAAATCACAAATGTCAATCTTTCCTCACAGGGCTTTTCAATCTGTACTCATCAGAAATCCTCTGTCTGCGTTACTCATTATGGTTTTTCTGTGTTGGTCCAGTTACACGTGGTTTGTCCCGATCAAATGGACGAAGACAGGTGTGGAGCAGCAACAGTACTGGCTCCTTCAGGAGACAGGTGCTCTCACAGTGACACTCATTGCTTTTCTACAATAGCTCTGAAAAGATTTTGTATCAGAAAAGCAAACTCGACCAATCCCTGGTCATGTTGTTAGCTGATTATTATGCAAGACCTTCTTTAATATGTCCCACTAGACGCCCATTCTCAGATGAGAGTTTCAGGAGAGGACTGGGTGCTGGCCAACACCAACGTAGCTGGCTACTTTAGAGTGAACTATGACCTTGACAACTGGAATCGCCTCCTCTCCCAGCTCAACACTGACCATCAGGGGAGTCTCACGCCCATTCACAGCTTTTCATCCAATGCGTGACGTTTGTGTTTCTTTGTGCTGTATGTCCACTATTAAAAAGAGAGGGCATGACCTTTTCGTCCAGGTTTCATTCGGGCCTGGTTGTCTGTGTCTATGTGAATTTGAATGTACTTGTTTGTCTGTCCTTTCTTTCAGGCCTTGCCAGTGATCAACAGAGCACAGATAATAGACGACGCTTTCAACCTAGCGAGGTAAAGAAAAACAATCGTGTTAACTGTTAAATTGTTTACACATTGCATGTCTGCAAAGAATTTGTTTCTCCCCTTAGAGCCAAACTAATCAATATAACATTGGCCCTGAAAACAACCAAATACCTGTCCAAGGAAAGACTCTACATCCCCTGGAAAACGGCTCTGATAAACTTCAACTACTTCATCCTCATGTTCGACCGCACCGAGGTCTACGGTGCTTTACAGGTTGTTGCTGCTTTACTGACAATACAAATACTGGGCACACACTCACAGCGGCAAACGCAACACAACAGCCAAGTGTGGCCACATAGTTGGTCAATCAATGTTTCTCTCATAGTTGTGTAGTTTTAAAGCACCTGGCCAACAGATTTGTCAAAGCTTCACACTGGTGAGGAATTTATGTTTTGGGGTTTGTCTGTCCATACATCTGTTTCTACTTCAGTAATACCTAAGGGAATTCATACGTACTTAGTAAAACCATTCAATTGGACTCAAGGATGAACTGATTAGAATGTAATGGGCAAAGGTCACCTTAAGAACAGATGTTAATAACACAAGAATGCATATGGTGGTTATTGCAATTCCACACAAACCATTATGTATGTAATAACATAATGAATTGTGGGCATTTTGGACAACCATGGAAGTTTAACTTTAAAGTAAATCATGTCAATGCTGTATTGTGTGAACACAGCTCAGAGGGACAAATGGATAAAAAGAAAGTGCAAAACAACTTAAAAACACGTTTTCTTTCATTTTAGACATACCTCAAGAAACAAATTCAACCACTTTTTGAGCACTTCCGGACAATAACTGCTAACTGGACCAATATACCTTCAGGACACAATGACCAGTAAGAATCTGTACAGCAGAAGATGTATTCTTTATGTTGAAAAATAGGTGACTTACCATTTGGTAACTTCATTCGAATCAATGCAACATTTCATTTTGATTACTACCCTTTCCACAGCCGTCCCACGTATTTGGTGTTGTCATGCCGTTGTGCCATTTTCCTGCATTTTCTCAATCATCCCCCTTTACAGGTACAATCAAATCAATGCTATTGCAGTAGCCTGCAGTATGGGTGTGCAGGGTTGCAGGGAGCTGATCAAAAGCTGGTACAGCAAGTGGATGGAAAACCCACATCACAACCCGTGAGTACACAGCAATTAAAGGCTGATGTTTGGTGTTTCAAGATTCCCAACATGTGACTGGTTATGTAGGCTTTGTCCATTTGCCACGAAGCCAAAAAGACAGCACGCTACTGTACAAGCCCTGGAGCTCGGTAGCAGTGTAGCGTTACGCACCGGCTGCATGTGTGGCGAGAAAGTCTGCGTATTTGCCTCTGATTTTCTACTCTACTGTATGTGTCCCTTGATGTTGACCAGGATCCATCCCAACCTGAAAAGCACCGTCTACTGCACGGCCATAGCCTTCGGCGGTGTGGAGGAGTGGGACTTTGCTTGGAGAATGTTCAAGAACGCCACTCTTGCATCCGAAGCTTCCAGACTCAGGGCGGCGTTGGCCTGCACCAAAGCGCCGTGGCTGTTGAACAGGTTTGTGCAACATTCAAAGTGGTGGGAGTTTGTGAATGAGACACCCGATTGCGCTGTACCAATGTATCCACTTTGACCACAAGACCGGACAATGACACAAAAAAACCGAAATGTTCTTTTGTAACATCCTTAAATGCCATTGCAAGGGGAACAAAGAGTCACAGTCAGCACACTGACTCTTAATGTCTCACAGCAACCGCCACCCTGTGTTTATTAGTGTTGGCTAACATTAGCCACCATAAGCCAACGCTATTAGTCAGTCACAAGTCATTTCTGCAGTGAGAGTCCAATCCTCACCTTACTTTGTGTCACTGAGAGTGAATATTTGATGAGCAATCTGTCTGAAAACTCCACTAAAGTGCAATTGACTCCATGTAGGTAACCCAAGCATAGAGTAACAATCGTATCACTGATTGCAAACATCCTCCCAAATGTATTCAATTGCAGAGACTCAATTTGGATACTTCTGCTATCAGTACAGTACACACATTGAATCACAACAAATAACAACTCGTTTTGACCGAGTCAGGTATCTGGAGTACACCCTGGACCCAACTAAGATCCGAAAGCAAGACGCCACATCGACCATCGGCTACATTGCAAAAAATACTGTGGGGATGCCGCTGACCTGGAACTTTGTCAGAGCAAGATGGAAGTACCTTTTCGAAGAGTAAGAGCATAAATGCAAGCATTAATAACCACACATTAAATGCTTCTGATGTTTTGAACAGATGTTGATCCTTCAATTATGTCCACACCATCAGACTTTGCAGTCTTTATTGTTTACACAGACATTTATTTGGTGTCAGACAGACGTTTATTGAGGTCAACAACAGGATATTTCACATTTTCCCTTTGCTGGCCTCTGTTAGTATATCACGTTACCTTGAGGTGAGGTCAACAGCATCTTTCATTTCTCTATTAGGTATGGACAAGGATCATTTTCTTTCTTTGGTCTCATCAACGGAATTACAACGAGATTCTCTACAGAGTTTGAGTTGCAGGAGGTACGAAGCCCACGCAGCCTCAACCACACTGAAATACACACAACATTTCCTCCATGATGTTCAGAGCAAAAGAAAGGCAACATATGCAGATATTGAGTTTGTCTTTCTTTGCTTTCTCCAGCTGAAGCAATTCAAAGAAGACAACCTCCATGTTGGTTTTGGCTCAGGCATCATGGCCCTGGAGCAAGCGATAGAGAAGACCAAGGCCAACATCCAATGGGTGGCAGAGAACAAAGTCCATGTGATGAACTGGCTTACTGAGGAGTCCAGATGAGAACACCAGGACACTCAAAAGGACAGGCTCTTTTCATTTGTACCGTCAGGGATGTGGAATATATGACAACTACTATAATCATTGTCTTCCTTGAGTAAACTGACACTCGTGGTCATCCACCTACGTGCAAAGAGTCCCCTCTGTGCCGAGCAGGGGCCACGTGTGTCTGTGATCGTGGGGAGAAAACCATTGAAACAAATGACTGTTTTGTTTTACTTGCAATACATTTATTTACACAAAAATGGACATACATGCAATGGACCCAATGGAACATACTCAGGATATTACCTTGTAACTTTCTAGTCTGTTGTAAACTAATTAACAAAAAGTTAAGTCATTAACAACTACAGATATCTTTGCATTGAAAAAACTGTTACTGTTAATTGGTCGGAGATAAAGAGCCTGATTTAATTTCACATAAATCGTTGCACTACATGATGTTCTAGTCAGAAAGACCTGATTTCTGTGTCCATTTGTCTTCATACTAAAGGGTTGCCTGTTCTCTGATGGTCGTCTGTTTCCAGTTTGTGTTTAATACTGTGATAAAAAAAAAAGACTCCACATAAACCAGTTTTCCTTGTCTACATTGTGCTACTCCACTCCTTTGAGAAATTGGCCCTGCCTGTAATATTCAGGCACTGGAAATGGAATCTTCTGGAAAATTCTCATGTTGTGAAAGTTTATAGTGTTTATAGTGGAAAATAATGAGACATTTAAACTCTGCCAAAGTTCACAGGGAGAAGACATATGTTCTGTACTGCACATCCTCTGAAAACGGTTACATAAAGCCTTCCTGGCATCGTGCTCAGGGTAAAGCTACATGTTAGAACAGATATTGAGCAGGAAGTTTGTGTTTTGAAAATGTTTGCATGCCGAAAATATGTCATCAACCTACACTTGGGAAACAAACCCTGATTTCATGGTTGAAAGTCCTGCGTTTGTTCTGGGATCATCACACTCTGCAGCATTTTCCCTGAGCATCTGATAATAAGTGAATAGAATAGTATCGTTATTGCCAACACCATATTTGTCTCTTTGTATCAAATCTCAATATTCTACTGTACATTGTGATATATTATAGTATACAGTTCCAAGAAATCCATCTCGCTGGATTCATCTTCGGACAGGACTCAACAAGTTCAAGAGCGGTCACAGGAGGTAGTGACTGTTTAGTCTATTGCGCAATAGTTGCTGCACCATGTGTGAAGACAAATCCATCTGCTCGGGAAGTTTGGCATTTTGCTTGGCTCTTTGCAAAAGGGTGATCTGTGCGTTTCCTGGAGCGAGTGCAGCCTTTAAATTTGACTCAATCAACAGGTGAAAAGTGCGCTGTCATCTAAACACAAGGTAAGACCAATTACTAAGGAAATAGTTCCATGTCATTGCATTAGACTGTTAATTTGTTTTCAAATGTTTGTTTTAAAAAGAGGGGGTCTTGGGTATCAGAGGGGCAATTCAATATGATCCAGAATGGCCAATTTGAGAGAATCTGAAGGCTAATACCGTGAGACCTATTTTACAACTACACTAAACATGCCCGGATTCACATATTTCGCTGCACACTTGAGTAACTCATAAAAGGAACTCATGAGAATCTTTCCCAACACTTCTCTATTGCAAAGAATGGCTTCAACTGTTGTTTTTTAATAAGGAGTGGATGCGGGTTTCAAAAACGCCTTTGCCAGATAAATTTGGACCTAGCAAACATTTAACTTACGTGACTGACGAGCTAGTGAGGTGTTGCCTTCTTGGATGTTCCCATTGTGTGCTGAAGTCCTCATCTCTGACAACGGAATGTGGACAAAAGTAGCTGACAATAACGTGATTATGCAGACCCACCCAAATAATAAGAAATCCCACACAGACCACCCAGCACCACTGTGCCTCAGTGCATCCTGACTAAGCCCTGACCGATGACTGAAGCGGATGTACGGCCTGTTGGGACGAGTTGTCAGCATCTGGCTGGTTGGAATCTGAATGTGTCTGACGGTCGGATTCGTCATCTTTATTGCTGAATGCTGACACTTCTGTTTTACTTTTGTCATATGCAAAATGATTTGTATATACATTTTTCCTTAGGTTTGCAGGACATAATCTAAATATCACATGTTGTGAAGACATTTCTGTGGCAGCTGTGTTGACATTTGGCGTTCTTCAACAGAACATGTTCTTCCAATTAAAACGGATTTTCTCCACTCATTAAAGCCACAACTGTTTAGGTCGACCAAAGCAAACTCTTTCAAGCTAAAGAAAAGTTTATGCAGTTTTGTTACCCTTCTTAATCCCATTTCATTGTGCTACCCAGCAGATGTGTATACAGTTGACATTTGGAAATTGAACACACACATATACACGGTTTTACTGTATTTCACAAAATGTAGAGTAGTGTATGTGAGAGGGCCTTTATTCAGAGCCATTATGCTGGCGTAAAGTTCACAGATTAGACAGGGCTCTCTCTTATCTCAAAGACTTTTTACAACTCAATGTTTTGGACATTCAGCTCTTTTCCACAAACAGGAAATCAACCATTAACTCTGGGTTGAATCCTAGCAGGCAGGGCATAAATAGCGATCCCGTCCGTTCATCTGTCTTCTCTTTCCGTGGTAAAGTCATGGGGAAAGGCTTCTTCATCAGCAAAGCAGTGGCGGTGACCTGCGCGGTCGCGGCCGTCGGCGCTGTGGCCACCATCATTGCCCTGTCTGTGGTTTACGCTCAAGAGAAGTCAAAGAATGAAGAGGCGCCTTCATCCACCACCAGTCCTAGTACCGGCCCTAGCACCGGCCCTAGCACCGGCCCTAGCACCGGCCCCACCACCGGCCCCACCACCAATTCCACCACGCCCTCCACCCCGAAGGAGCCCTGGCAACGCTACAGACTCCCAGACTCCCTCGCTCCCGTCTCCTACAACGTGACCCTGTGGCCCCGGCTGGAGCCCAACAAAGCCGGCCTGTACATCTTCAGCGGACACTCGGCGGTGGTGTTCCGATGTGTGAAGGAGACCGACCTCATCCTCATCCACTCCAACATGCTGAACCTCACCAACTTCGAGGGGCACCATGCCAAGCTGACCGGCCTCGGCGGAACAACTGCGCCCGGCCTGAAGGAAACCTGGCTGGAGGTTCCCACGGAGTACCTGGTGGTCCGGCTCAACAGTCCGCTGCAGGCCGGCGGGATGTACGAGCTGTACACCGACTTCATCGGAGAGCTGGCCGACGACCTGGGAGGATTCTACAGGAGTGAATACACGGAGGATGGGGTGAAAAAGTAGGACTCTCCTTTTCTTTTCGTAATATGATTATTTAATTATGTTTCAATATTTCAGTTAATTCTGAGAATTTGTGTGTTTTTTAGCAATGTGCACGTTGTAATAGCTAGTGATTTAATTTAAACATATTACATCCATGCAGTGACGTATAGAGATTTCAGTCCTTTAGCTTGCGTGTCTTATCTTGTCAAATAATTATATTCTCTACTGATGCACAAAACCACCATTTCCCACGGCGTGCTGAAATGTAAACCCTGGGAAAGAGATTTCCTTCACCAAGGAAGAGTGAAAAAGACGTTTGGAAGTTAAGTTTAGGAACAGTGGATACACCAGAAAAAGTATAAACCACCCAATTCCAAAATACCTCGAAAGAAATTGAACACCTATATCTAGGTGTGAGAGTTCCTTCAGTGTTTGATGTGTGTGTTAATCATTGCGTCTTATCTCGTCGTATCTGCTATTGACAGAATTGTGGCCACGACTCAAATGCAGCCGACGGATGCCAGGAAAGCCTTCCCCTGCTTTGATGAGCCCGCTATGAAAGCAGTCTTCCACATCACCCTCATTCACCCTCAGGAGACCGTGGCTCTGTCCAACTCCATGAACTACGGTAGTTCTTCTCTCAGTGTCAACTGTCCATATGTGATGTTTCCTAGTAACCCAAAGCGATACGTCCATATGTGATCCTCAACAGCGGCATCCATCAAATGTGCAACTTAGGTATACTGTACGTTGATTTAGTGCGCTCATGCTTCCTCAATGGTAATGAGGTAATGTCTTTTCACCCTACACAGAACCTAATAACATCACTATGGAAGGACTCAATTTGATCCAGACAAGCTTCATGCCCACAGAGATTATGTCAACCTACTTGCTGGCTTTCGTTGTGTCTGAGTTCAAGTCCATCTCGCCTAAAGCAAAGGCAGACGTTTTGGTAATTATTTATTACATCTCATCATATGAAGCGAAATGCTTGTATTGTTGTATTACTGTCATACCCATTTTGCCCTCTTTTGACCTTCCTGGAACGCGGAACAAGATTTTTTTTAGGATAAACGATGAACTTTGACATAGCAATAAAAAACACACCTCAATACCGCTTTGACTGCCATTACCGATGCTGCAATTGCAAAAACATGGCTACTATCTATTTATTATTGCTCCAATGGACTATTGCTTATGCTAAGGCCTTCATTAGACCCAATAATTTCAGCTGATGAAACGAAAATGAGATGATAACACGATAGCACATTGGGGGAAATAGCAGTTTTATGGTACCTGAGTATTGGTCTATTCTTTTGAGGAAGAGATCTGTCTTAAGACAAGGAAATGGACCCCGGCATTACAGCCATGTATCCAACACGACTATACCATACAGAGGTTTGATATTGTGAATGTATGCTTCTGATTCAACAGTTTGTGGGGGTTGGTAGCATGATTGGTTGTACTTCAACCATCTTTATCAACTACTACACAGTGAAGGAAGCGCCATCACAAACAGCAGACGTCCGGTCCTCTGCTGCGCTGCCCATTTGGTTGCAGTGGGAATGCGCTGCCATCTGCTGGACTGCAGGCTTAACTCAGGCTGCTGGTTTCCTATTTCTCCCTATTTAATAAGGCACTGTTTGTGTACAGGTCAGGATCTGGGCTCGAAGGAAGGCTATCGACGAGGGCCAGGGGGACTATGCCCTGGAGAAGACTGGGCCCATATTGTCATTCTTTGAGAAATACTACAACTCTTCCTACCCCCTGAGCAAGTCAGGTAGGAACCACAAGCACCGACCATCAAAAGGCAAAGCTAATTGCTTTGGGCTACTGCAAACCGATATTACTTTATTTACCTTTTTTTTTTAGACCAGATTGCCCTTCCGGACTTCAGCGCTGGAGCCATGGAGAACTGGGGCCTGATCACCTACAGAGAAACCGCCCTCTTATATGACCCCAACGTGTCCTCTAATGGAGACAAGGAGTGGGTGGCAACAGTCATCTCCCACGAACTCGCTCACATGGTATCAAACTAAAGGGCATTGTGTTTAGCTCCTAAATGTGTTCCACCAGCGGCCGATAATATGAAGCTCTGTCCTCACAGTGGTTTGGGAACTTGGTGACCACGCGGTGGTGGAATGACCTGTGGCTCAATGAGGGGTTTGCCACCTACGTCTCTTACCTTGGAGCAAACTTTGCTGAGCCAACGTGGAATATGGTGAGTTTTGAATATATGACGCTGAGTGTATATACAATGTACTGAATGGGCCTCTAATTCTCTTGCTTCAGTTTGATGTCATTCCTGACTAGGTGGATCCATTTCATGTGTTTAAAATAAGCTTAAATTGTGTCCTCAGTGCACAATTCAAATATTTGCTCTGTGTATTTTGCAGAAAGATTTAATAGTTCTGAATCAGATCGTTGGTGTGATGTCGGTGGATGCCTTGGCCTCCTCCCACCCACTCTCATCCAAAGAGGAGGACGTCCTCACGCCAGACCAGATCAGCGAACTGTTTGACTCCATCACATACAGCAAGGTGCAATACAATTGATATTAACGCGTCTTAATTTCATTACCTCAATGTGCTCAATGTATTCAACCCCCAAGAGACAAGATGTCAACCTCCGCTAAATAAAAAAATAATTAAAATTCATAAAATTCATACAATCTTTGAAGCTGTAATTGTGTCCAATCAAATATTTATCTGAATACCACGGCTAATATCCCCCTGTGCTTCGTTACAGGGAGCTGCGGTCCTCAGGATGCTCTCAGAGTTTATCACTGAAGATGTCTTTTCCAAAGGACTCAGTGTGAGTACCGCTGGTCCAATTTCGTTTTGTTAATGTCGCTTGTGATGCCACCATTTTTTTGAGTTACATCTAACGTTGTTCACCACAAACGCACAAATTCACAAACCCACAAACTCATATGTGACCATAACACATACTGTTTTTATTTGTCTGCAGACATACTTGGATGCATTCAAGTATAATAACACAGTCTACACAGACCTTTGGAAGCACCTGCAAATGGTAAGACTGGACCATGTGAACCATCCACAAAACACCACTTAGCCTATAAAGAAAAGCTCACACAAAACTAATAACCTTATTCAGTTGATCATTTGATTGATGATTTATTTCTGAACTAATTCCAGTATTCACTCTGCTATTATCTCTGTTTTCGAGAGGAAAATATCTTGCTCTTTAGCTGCTTAACTCCGCCATGTTCACATTATTAGCTGCTGACTTGTTTTGGTGGTTGCTTGGCGCTGGACAGGTAACATCGGCCAGTGAGTTCACATTTTTTATGCAGAGGATTATTATGCAGCTTTTGGAAGTTTAGTCCACGTTGTGCAGCAACTTGTTCTCATACGACAGGTAGCTTAAAGAGACTAATGCTAACTTTAGGTGGCCTTGGTGTTGCTGAGTCCTTTTCGTGACTTTTCAACACTTTCTTACTTTACTGTATGCAAACTCTTAAAAATTTGTGAAAATATATCTGCCTGTTATTCACTGTGACACATAATAACACATTGACACTGACATTATTGACACAAATAACAAATAAGGGATTGGGATAAATGCTGCTTGACACAAACATATATTGAAATAAATTGAAATAAACACATATTGAAATAAATAAAAGTAAAATACTCCTGATGCAGTGAGCAATGAGGGCTCACAATGTAACTCATATATTAATATCCCTCTATCAAGGCAGTGGATAGCAGTAACATTACGCTGCCCCACTCCGTCGAGGTTATCATGAACCGGTGGATCCTACAGATGGGCTTCCCAGTGGTCACCATCAACACCAACACTGGAATAATTACCCAGAAACACTTCTTGTTGGACCCAGACTCAGTGGTTGACCGTCCCTCAGAGTTCAAGTAGGAAACGTTCATAATTTTTCTCGTGAATATGCCGAATATACCGAATGTGGTGATATTGGCTCCCGGCATAAGAAACTCACCCGCTCTCTCTGTCGCCTGTTTGGCTGTAGGTATGAGTGGTTTGTCCCTCTCACGTGGATTAAGACTGGAGGAGCCGAGCAGCAGTACTGGCTGCTTAACAAAGAGGGTAAGAGTTGTTTTGGATGCTTCTTACATGGTGTTGCAAAGATGAGGAACACAAAAGAAAAATATGCATTATTTTCTCCATCCCAAAAGCTACAAACACAAACGTGACTCTTGCTGGTACTGATGATTGGCTGGTGGCCAACATAAAAATGAAGGGCTTCTACCGAGTCAACTACGACTCCGACAACTGGGAGCGTCTCCTCACGAAGCTGAGCACCGATCACCGGGTGCGTGATGGTCGTTTTGGATGCGTTTCTAAATGGTGATTACAACCCTCCCCTCAAAACTCAAAACTCAATTCCTTTGTTTGCTTTTTCAGGCCATTCCAGAGATCAACCGAGCTCAACTCATCGATGATGCTTTTAACCTCGCAAGGTGAGATCCCGTTTTTTATTTTTTACAAAGTATCTGCCATCAAATGTTGAAAGAGACAGTTGAGGAATCTCTTATACGTGCCTTTTTCAGGGCCAGGATCGTGAGCACAACTCTGGCTCTCAGGACGACCAAGTACCTCAACAAAGAGGTTGCCTACATGCCCTGGGAGACAGCCGAGCGCAGCTTGAGCTACTTCTTCCTAATGTTCGACCGCAGCGAAGTGTATGGACCCATGCAGGTTTGTGATGAACAGCGAACTTTTACTTGTTCATGAAGGAATACAGATTTATTTGAGCATATTTTAGAGGGGAAACATACCTTGAAATCATATGCAATGCATATTATTTGCAAGTATTTACTGCTTTATTGTTTACACTCCATTTACTCCTCAGGCTTACCTGAAGAAACAGGTCACTCCTCTGTTTAACCACTTCAAAGAAATCACTCTCAACTGGACAAAGATCCCAGAAAGCCACACTGACCAGTAAGGATGCAGACCTGCTCCCAGTGTTTTGAACCATGTCTGTTTTACTCTTTTTCACACGTGTGCCGTGTGTATAGACGACGTGACTCTATGACATCCTTTTTGCATTGTAGTATTTCTTTCTATAACTAATCATGACTTGACTGATGTTTTTTTTCCTGCAAAATGCTCTATTTACAGGATGATACCATTATTGTGGTTTCCCAAGGGGGAACTCTGAAGAGCACACGGTTCACATTATCTGACAATTTAAGGTTGCAGTAAACTGTGTCCCTTTGGGTTCCTAGAACGTAGATTAGAATAAACTAATTATCCCCGCTAGATAACTCCAATAGAATGTACCTCCTACTCCCACCTCTCTTTAATGTGATACTCTTGAGCTTACTTTTGTGGTGGCATTTACTGCTGAATGTGAGTCAACCCCCAATGTATGAGAGCCAATTTGCTAGAAATTTAAACTAACTATCTAAAATAAACAAAAATTAAAAAAAAACCTTAAAAGCCACTCACATTGAACCGGCTCACTCCCCAAACCTGAGCAGGTTAGCTGTAACTTTCTCCTGAGCCTATGTTTCATTTCTTTTGCCTGTCCAGGTACAACCAGGTCAATGCGATCTCCATGGCCTGCCGCACGGGAGTGGAAGGCTGTACGGAGCTGACCACAGGCTGGTTCAGAGAGTGGATGAACAATCCCACTAACAACAAGTACGTTCACACCCAACGCTTCCCTTTCGATCTTTCTTTTCCATCACATCTTCCTTTAGGGATTCTTCCATAGATTCCTCCTAAACTTTACTTTACTACTTTAATTCAAGTATTTCTTTTTACCAAGGCACTCTCTTTAACTCTTTAACTCTCTGCCGTCTTCATCAACGGTTGCAGGATTAGTCCCAACCTGAAGTACACAGTGTACTGCAGTGCGATCGCAGCGGGAGGGGTGGAGGAGTGGGACTTTGCTTGGTCCATGTTCAGGAACACCACCATCGCTACGGAGGCGGATAAACTCATGTCCGCTCTGTCCTGCACCAAGCAGCCCTGGCTGCTGAACAGGTTGGTGGAACCAACAAACACCTTTGCTGCAGCAAATAGAATGTTTTGTCCTCACCGTGAGTGTGTTTCAGGTATCTGGAGTATTGTCTGGACCCACAGAAGATACGTAAGCAGGACGCCACCTCCACCATCGTTTCCATTGCTAGCAACGTCTTAGGTCAACCTCTGGCATGGGATTTTGTCAGAGCCAAATGGGACCACATTTTCAATGAGTGAGTCGTCTCTCATGCCTGCACAAATAGAAGAGTTAAAGCTGTTAGAGATCACAGTCAAACGTAATGTTACGGAGCCAATAGTCAGATTGTGTCAGACAGATTTCGGTGGCGATCAGGCACTGGTACAAACTGCTATGCCTATACCTGCAATTGGATGGATTGCCATGAGATTTTGTGCAGATATCCACAGTACACAGAGGTCGAATCCTGACCCCAAAACCGTTTTTGGTTCAGTAAATCCGAGCAAAACAAACGCTATCTCCTTCAACTTCCAGTCCTACTTACTAACATGCTAACATGCTCATCGGTATAAACGACTGAACATTTTGTGTCATTTGCAAAGTGCCCACAGTCTGTCTTGTTTGTGCCTTTTTCTCAGCTATGGTGGTGGATCGTTTTCGTTTGGAGGACTCATCAGCGGACTGACCAGAAGATTCTCCACTGAGTTTGAGTATCAGCAGGTAGGGCTTCTCCAGTGTTCATTGCTGTTCTCTGTAAGCTGAGCCAGCCAATATGTCATTCCACAGAGGCCATTTGTCAGTGAGTTAATACAAATAACTAGACTCTTGTTTGCAAAGTGCTGTGCATCAGGTACAGCATGACGTAAACGTGGCGTTACACAAGTGCGGCGGTGAAGAAAATGTGGATATATCCTGATCCTACGGTTTATACATGGGGACATTTAGCGTTGAATCTCAGTAACCCCCCCCCCTGTCCCTTACTCTTCAGTTGCTGCAGTTCAAAAAAGACAACGCCGGGCAGCTTGGCTCGGCCACCACGGCTCTGGAGCAGGCGCTGGAGAGCACCAAGGCCAACATGAACTGGGTGACCAGGAATAAGAAGCCGGTGCTTGACTGGTTCCAAAACGAGACCAAGCCCCCAGTTTAACACAAGTGCAGATGGTCTTACTCACTTCTACATCGGCTGGAACCAAATGTGTTTTTCTAAATATCCTGTATGTTATCCATTTAAAAAAATAATAATCATGCAATGTTTTTATTATGCATTTTTGAGGATATTCGACACTAAATGAAAACATGTTTTAATACTGTACATAATTTAAACATTAAAAATGTTCTGAAAAGATGAACCGATTCAAGATTGTGCTATTCTCTGCATTCCCTCATTTGTTTTGCATTTATTTTTGATGCCAGTGTTTTGCATAAAAACCATATTAGATCGTGACATTTCTTACCTCAATACAATGAGCCCAGATTGGGTTTCATGTCTGCGAGCCCTGCAATGTGAACCAAGTCCATTTAAATGTAAAATATCTGAAAAGAAATGCGCACAAACTGTAATTTGCTGAGTGCAGCCTCTCCGGGCATCTGTGCCTCCTCACAGATTACTGCGTTGACATGGCAACAGTGTCAAACATGCACTCACATAGTAGGCCGTCCATCTTCAATAGCCAAGACATTATTATGTTATTATTGTGATATTAACGGCATATTATTAACTGGGTATCATATGGATACTGCAGAGAAACACTTTCCAAACATAAGTGACTATTAATACTATGAGTGAAACAAATGATTTGCTTTGGGGCCTCTGAGCCGAACCCAGAGACATTTATTGTGCTTGTTTCTGTCTCAACCAACCCGAATGTTTACACAAGATCGAAAAGGTGCCAATTAACTGGTCCCAGTTCAGCTGCCTCTTCTCCCAGTGGGGGTCTTTCCTTGAGGACTTTAGCGGGGATGTGCTCCCTGTTTAGCACCTCATTGTCACGTTGACAGCTGCAGTGCTTGTGTAAAAGGAGTCTGCATGATTTCATTTGTTTGGTATGTAAAACAACAACCATAAATATTTACACATATCACAGAAACAGAACATTTGGATACATGCAACAAACTCAAGGGTTATTTTGATAAATTAACTTTATTTTGTTCAAGTTGTGAAAGCTAAATAAATATACAGTTCTATACATTAAAAAGAAAAATGCACAAAATAGGACAAAAAATATATTCTGTTCAAAATAACAAAATGAAGAGGTTTTGTCCAGAGATTTACATAGAGGTCATTGTTGCAATGAAAATAGTGTATTGATGGCCGGGTCTCAGCTCTGTCCAGAGAAGACGGCGTTTTGGAGTTGCTGCTGTTGTGGCATCCAGAACTGCTCGCTGGTGAAGCAAACTCCATTTGAAACCTGCCAAGACAAATTCTGGTTATCAACTCATTCAACACAAGATCCCCGGGAAGCAAATTCTCAGTGGCTCAAACGGTTTTAAATGTTGAGCTGTACGAGACACTGGTGGGAAACATACCTGGTGTGAGGGCTGCAGATGTGCTGAGCTCACGGGGCCGTAGCCGGCTCCTGGCTGACCCAAGAACTCAATGAGGTTTTGGGGCTTCTCCGAAAACCCGCAGGCTCTCTGCTCCAGGGCCTCCTCGCTGAGGCCGAGCTGAGCCGACAGGTAGGAGATGTAGCGGATGGTGAGGCGCAGCGTCTCGATCTTGGTCAGGTTCTGTCCTGCGGGGGCCGCCGAGGGAGGCAGGTATGTCCTGAGGTGCTGCAGGGCCTTGGTCAGGTCCCTCATCCTCAGCTTCTCTCTCTCGCTGGCCGTCTGCCGCTTCTTCCCCGGGTACCTGGATCTGGATTTCCTCGCGGTGGAGGACGTGGCGGCGGATGATCCGGAGCAAGGCGGACGCTGCGTCCCCTGCGGGAGGCCAGGCACTGCGGGGCTTTTGAAGACGAAACGATCCGTGGAGTTCGGCTCGCTTCCGGCCACTTGGAGGGAGGTGGGGGAGAAGCAGTAGGAGTCCACAGAGGAGGTGGGCGACAGGCTGCTGCTGCATGCGCTGAAGTAACCAGGGTCCAAGGATGGATCGTAGGCCAGAGGATCGTAAGGCTTGTCCAGCAGGGACTCAAACAGGAAAGAGTTGTCCTGCAGCTGGAGAGGAGAGCAGTAGGAAACGTCCATGGCTGCCGTGGTGCTCGTAGTCGTGGTCTTCCGCTGAGCAGTCGGTGTGTTGCTGGTGAGGCAAGAGAGGACAGTGACGAGGACTGGTGAGGCAGCTCCATATATGTGGTGGGAGGTGCGAGGTTGCACCTCCGGCCCCTGAGAAGCTCCGGGAGCAGCGCCAACACCTCCACCGGCGGCTGGGGGGGCTCCCATGGGAAACATGCCAGTTCCGGGAGAAGGTGCGACCGGAAGTAAACAGGTTCACACGAAACGCTCCTGCAGCCTGGGAACACGACAAAGGGTTGTACCTGGATCTGGGTCTGTCCTGGAAACCAGAGGACATTTTTTAATTTGGGGTGGTGGAAGATCTGTTTTCCAAAAAAATAGAAATAAAATAACGGCTGGATGAGAGAATTAGTCCGTGTGGAGCTGTAAGGTCTCAGGTTCAGGGAAGCACAATAAAAGTGCTTTTGTGTGACATTGAAGTTAAATGGCGTTTCTTTTCCTTTCGCCCTTGGGCTCCCTCCCCACACACACACACACACGCACAGACACACGCACACACACGCACAGACACACGCACAACAAGGTCACACCACAGAAGTGTGCCGGTGAGCAGCTGTGAAGTGTTAGGACTTTACACCTGGACCTGTTTGGGGACCACTGTTGAACTGTGATGTGCACAGGAAGGAGGCCCGCAGTGTGACTTTGATGGACTTCAGCTGGCTGTCACGGCCACCTCTTCATCGCAGAGGAGACCTTTCGGGCCTGAGTAGGAGCTGGTTCGGATCTCGGTTGGCAACAGTGGGAGGCCGTTTCCAGATTGTGAGGATTAGAAATAAACCTGTTCACCGTGATTAAAGTAGTATGATGTTGGAGAGGAAGAATTGTGTTTCCCTTTTTCCCTTTTATTTGTTGTTTGAATCAATTCAAATGATCCTGCATGTGTATCATCAATAATCGCAAAGAGTTTTTAAGTCGGTAACGCAATTAATATGATTTAGCAGAGTAGTGTGTTTTTTACACGAGTGCTTTCTCTGATCGTCAGGTGTAAGCTGTGGATCCAGATCCCGAGCAGCGTTCCCACAAACACGGCGTCACATTTGACTCCTGTTCTGCAGCAGAGGTGAAACCCACGAGCCGGGGACGTGTGAACCGGTCTCGCACAGCTCTCCGGCCACCTCGGTTATGCAAGAAAAACAGGCCTCTGATGTAAGAAAAAATTGCCAACGTCAAAAAGTTTGAAAAACAACATTTCTGCACTGATTTTGCTAAAGCTGGTTTAGTTTGTCTTGTTTTTTCTCTGTGAGTGTTAGGTGACACTCGTTATCACTAATTCTAGCACTCTAGTCTTTGGTTGACTGACGTTTGATGCCGTTTACAAATTCAATTTACTTTGCTGCGTTCAATTTGAAGACTTTATTTCACTAGTGTGCATTTTGTGGGACGAACGTCTTTCGCTCTATTTGTTTGAAACGATGAACTCTTAACTGTCTTAACTGGATGTGATTTCCCTCTGTCGGGGTTCCCCCCGGCTGTCAGCTCTCCTCTTGCCCTCCCCGGCTGATGATGGAGAGGATCGGCCTTCTCTTAATCCACATTAAGCTCTGACAGTGTTTACTCACATGTAATGATCGAATAATCAGCACAGCCGTGCTAACCCTTTCACCCCCCCCCCCCCCCGACCCTTTCAGGGCCGCAGAGTTTATTAGCTCTTCTCTGATGAAAGGCCCGAGTGGGCACATTAGGCTTTGTGTTGGGTTTGTGCCGCATATCAGATGAGCTGCACGTATGTGGCAAACCAAACACTCGGGCCTTAATTCTCCTGCCTGCCACGAAGCCTCTCCATGAATATTAAAGGCCTCTCTGTTGGCTCAAGCAGGTAATTAGGGCTGTAGGTGGGAGAGAGAGTTGAGGGCGCGGGGGAGCAGGGAGGATCTTGTATCTTTAGTCTAGACTTAGCGGTGCCAATGACCTCTCTGTGTTTGCCCAGCCGCATTAACAAAGACACACCGAATAAACGAGATAGCACGGGTGGGCTTCGATGCATTACGCCACGAGAGGGATCTGCTGTAATGTTGCCTGGAAGAGACTCGTGTCCCTAGTAATGAGTAAGTTTGGTTCCCTGTCATTTTCACATGTGCAATAGCTTTGTGTTATTTTTGCCCAGCCCACAGTTGCATAATCTGCTGTAGAATTATTTTTTCCAAGTAATTAAAAAGAAAAAAAGTCTTTCCTGGGATATTAAGACGAACATTTAACAGACGATCCAGCCCACAAATATGTAAATAAACAAAGTCTATTAACCACCAGCTGCATTGTAGGGTCTTTTACAATTCATTTCTCCAACATGTATTTGTTGCCTTTATGGATTTGGAAATGTTATTCCATCTCAAGTAATAATCCCAGGTCCAAATGATGGCATCGATGACATCTGATTTTCATTCCGTCTGCGGTGGGAAAGACCTCCTCGCGCCGGGGAAAGTTATTAAACAATGCACAGGGGATATTTCACCAGTATTTCATTCACATTTTTTTTTTATTCAAACGTTGTTGGGTTGTTTACAGCGAAGATGCTGACGGGGGCATACGGGGATCCACTTCACAGTATGGATCCCCACCTTCAGCCCAGCAGGACGCCTCTCGGATATCTGTCATTTCACATGTGGGATTCGATTAAGTCACACATTTCTGATGGATGGACAGTTTTTAAGGTGCTCATAATGAAACGTGTTCAGCTCAATATAATCGTTCCTCCTGTTCATAATGCTTATCAAGAGATCATTTTAACATTCCTCTCAATATCAGTGATGGAATTCACAGTCTTTATTTTGAACACAAGGCTTCAGCAACCAAATAAAGCAGTGATAATCTCTTTGGTATAAAATACCCTCCATGGGGTTTCTTGTTGAGCGCCAGTGGAGGAGTTCTTTTACAAAAACACAAGAGATTGGAAACAAGAGATCTCTTAATTACCAGCATGAACATGACAGGAATATAGAGAGAAAACACTGTTGCGCTGTTAATGACTGAGTTGTGTTGGCCTTTTCTTTTTAATCAGAGCTATGAGCGGTTTCACCTCCTTTGAAACTTGCATAACTTATATCGTTATATATTAACCACCTATAAAATACACTGAGAAGTATTTTAAGCTGTAACAGCTATTTATTTGTATCAGCATACTTTTGAGTCATGTCCACCTGATGAATGTCCAATTTTCTCTCTATTCGGGACTCGGGAAAACACGCTGCAAAGTTCTGTCAGTGGCAAACAGCCTCTTTCGCATGGCCACGACTTCATTTGAAGCATGTAAGAAATATAAATAAATAATAATTTAAAAAAAACCCTATTAACATAGACTTTTCAGTGGCGACAATAACAAAAAAATCTAAATGTATAAATAAATAAAATTGGTGGGACGCTGATGATTTTAGGACATTTGAGTGTTTTCATCATTCAGGTGCTGATGTGCCTTCAGCACCAACAGAGGGCGCTCTGTGGCACTTCCCTCGCCCACATTTAACCAGCAGGTTGAGGCGAAAGGCATCATGGGAACCAGGCTTGCAAATGATGACAATGGCACACGTGACATTTTAAAACTGTATTTATTATAAATAAAAAAAATAAAAAATGAAATATAAAAATAGTTGTTAGACATTAATACATTAATATTTACACGCAGTATTTCATGGGACAAAATAAATAAAGTTTTTGAAAAGTATATATATATTTCAAATAAATTACTTCTTTCACATTGAGGCAGTAAAGACAGAGAAGTTTGTGTCTGTTGTAAGATGACGACGATGAGTGTTCAACCCCAATACTCTCTGGGAACCAACGGCATGCAGAAGTCTTTGCCACCCATCTGCAAATCGGAGGAAGGAAGTTTGATCAGCATTCAAAAACATCCCAGAAGTGTGACTTTACACATATTCATAATAAACGTTCACATACCTGACAGCAGGGCTGTGTTGCCGGAGAGGACTGCAGGATTCCCTCCAAGCTCGTGTCTCCCATTGGACCCTCAAAGTACTGCATGTCGTACCGATCTGCCCCAAAACCACAGCTCCCAGAATGCAGCACGGTGCCCTGGCTGTGGCACTGGGCCTGGTACAGGCTCTGGTTCAGGCTCTGGTCCAGGCTCTGGTCCTGCAGCTGGGCCTCCTGTCCCCCCACGGCGCCGTGCTGGAAGTAGCCGAGGATGTCTGGCGAGGATGCGTCGCTGGTCGAGGTGTCGCCTTGTTCCCTCCTCTGGAAAAGCGCCTCCTCGCTGAGGCCCAGCTGGGCCGACAGGTAGGAGATGTAGCTTATGGTGAGCCGGAGGGTGTCTATCTTGGTCAGGGTCTGTCCTGCGGGGGCCACTGATGGCGGGAGGTAGGACCGGAGGTGATGCAGAGCCTTGGTCAGATCTCGCATCCTCAGCTTCTCCTTCTCGCTGGCGCTCTCCCTCTGCTTGCTGCGCATCCGGCTGCCTCTGCCCGACTTCCTGCCGCGTCCGGACCGCGAGCAGGGCGAGCACCTGAGGGTCTGGGAGTATCCGGTCTGGGCCCCCTTAGGAGTGGACTGATGCAGCTGCTGGTAAGAGGAGGGAGAGAGGCTGGAGTCCATGGAGAGGACAGGCGAGAGGGTCTCCGAGGAGGAGATGCTAGAGAGGTCCGAGTCGGAGAACCACTGGTACTGCAGGCTGTGGTTGAGCAGAGCGGCCGAGCAAGTATCCATGTTGTGTGGAGCGGGACTCTGTGGTCAGACTGGAGAGACTGGGAGGCTTAGTGCCGCTCAGCTCTGTTGCACTGGTTTATAAGTCCAGGCCGGGCCACGGAGGTGTGAAGTGACACCTCTGCAGATTCTCACAAACCATCACTGTCTCTGCAGCTGAGGCCACTGCCCCTGATTCACACACACACACACACACACACACAGACACACAACACACACACCCTCTCTGGGACCTTGTCTCTCTCCTCCATGTCTGGGAAAATCCAGCTACAGGAGTTGAAGTGTGAATTTTGACTCCTTCTCAAAACAATAAACAGTTTTTGCTTTTTGGGCTTTTTTTGTACCTGCGGCAACCCAGATTCATTCTGCACATGTCTAAGGACGGGGTTTGTATGTTTGGTACTGTCCCGCATTCACTTTTCAACTCTGGAGCAAAAGCCTTGGATCAGCAAACAAGACACTATAACGGTGTGAGGAAGCCGCCCGCTAACACAGAGCACCTGCCGTTACATTGAGTTCATAGTCACTTTATCCTAATAGCAACATGGTGATTCAGTGTTATTTCCAACCATTGGGTTCTGCACATGTTTATCCAGTTAACTCCCGTGATGCGAACCCAATATGGATTTGAGAGTGATACCACCAACTACGTTTTAGTCTATAGAACGCTCTGAATCTGATCAAACTATCAGGATCTAAATGGTGAACAGACTTTTACAATGAAAAACATTTAAACATTTGTCTGCACTCAAATGTAACCTTCACAAAGACCAAAATGATATTAACACCAACTATTATCTTTTAAGATTTAATGACAATATAAAGAAGTTTAGCTCCAAATCAACCAACTAAAACATTGGAATACTAACAGTACTTTTACTTGTAAAAGAGCACTCTTACATTTTCTTTATAAAAGACTGTTTTAGTATTTTTTCCGTCAGTGATAATTTGCAAGGAAGCACAAAATAGCGATGTGGGTGTGAATGGCTTCCTGAGGGAGTTCTCTTTCACAGTTTTTCTACATGGGAATGGGTGTTGCTGGGGTTGAAATGTGTATCATTATATCAGTTAAGTTAAGTATAAGTTTGGAAAGTTCTCATTGTTTGGAGAACGGAGGTCGCGTCCTCCTTTCTCTCCCAAGTGTCCTTCTCACCAGGACCTTGAACCTGGCATGTGTGTGTTCCGTCCTTCGCTATACATCCCATTACTTTGCACCCTCAAGATTGTTTTATAGCCGCAGCGAGTCGAGTTGTGATCTTCGATCCTTATTTTTTTTCATCTTGATTTGTTAGATGGAGCGTCCTCTGCTGCTGCTCCGGTTGAGTGTGTTCATTCTCATGCATCTATGTCCTACACGGCTAAAATGTCAAACGTAAATACATCTAATGAAGCATAATGACCTGTATCATGCAGTTAAAGAGGAGGTGTGACGGTTTCACACTGTCGAGAACTGATGAGTCTGGAGGCGTCGCTTCACACCTCGGCTGTGAGAACCGAGAATGCTGGGAAATACTGCTAACCTCTCTCCGTCCCCTCTTTTCCCCGTGTTTCCCCGTGTGGCTTTCCGTGTTAGCATCGGATAGATTTGGGGAGAGGGGTGCATTTTTTATTCAAAACCAGGTAAAAAGCACATTTGATTCTTTGACGTGGACGGTACTGAATTTCGTGGTTTGGTTGCCCAAACTAGAACGGATGTGTTGAAGCGATGCTGCTGATTAAACATGTTTTCTTGTTTCAGTCGGCCTCGTGCGGTTGGCCCGGTGTGAAGGTGGTGTTGTCAGCAGCAATGCAGACGACTAACATAAAAATATATAAATATCTGTAGTACAAAAATACGGAAAAAACAAAGCTGGGAAAAATGTGGAAATGAGGTAAAAGCAGTGCAATGTGAGGTGTGTGATATGACTCACGACGAAGAGAAAATCGGTGGTGGTTATGCGAAAGCTTAGTGCACCGTGAACCGGGGATGAACCCACACTGCGACCCTGCCAGCCCCCCCTCGCCCCCTCGCCCCCCCCCTTCCCCTGACCAAGGCGAGGCTGTGGGAGCCTGGCTGGAAGTTTGGCACCTCTGGGTGGACGCACACCCACAGCAGTCTCTGAGGCTGGGCTGGCTGCCACCTGTCTGGGCCTCCTGAGTCCATCAACCCCACCACGACCTCCAGTGCGCCGGCTCGGCTTGGAATAAAGTCAAATAAAACATGATTGATTCCTGGGCATCGAGTCGGCGCCACGGCAAACGGTGGTGCAGCAAGAGTCAACAAGAACACACGTGCAACACAGAGGAACAATCTGCTGGAACAGGCTGTTAGTGCTGCGGTCGCACCACAAGACTGCAGGAGGCGTCCAGATTTGATAATGAGGTTATTTGAAATTAAAATGAACGAATGCAAATGCTTCCACACGTGATACATTAGCTTAGTGGATGAGTTGGTGTAAACATTTTCTGAATCTAATGCTTTCAATCCCAACCCAAACACGAGGGAGTGTATCTCTGCAACATTGAACAAGGATTTGGCATTATGGACGTGAATAAGTCACACAAAGGAATCTTTTTCTTGCCTGTTTGCTTGACGTGCCTCAGAAGGATGATAAAAACTGATGAAGACAATCAAGACAGGGAATGTATGGGGACTGCGTCACATTTGACAAATTAAAGTAAATTTAAGTTTCACCTTATACTTGTGTGGTCATATTTGGTTCGTTGAAATCTTCATTGTGTGTGTGCGTGTCTGCGTGTGCCTGTGTGATTCAGTGATTGAGGTGGCAGGTGAGGGGGATACATTTTGCACCCTAGGTGTGAAACATAGCTGGAGATGGAGGGGTCAGCCAGAGGTGGATAGTAAATTTCCTCTAATTGTCACAGAGTGACATTGGCAGAACATTTAAAAATTCAAAAGACTTAAAACTTAAGATAATGTTTTGAAATAAACAGCAATTTTAAAACAGAAAGCTTACAGGGAGCAGGAAGTAAGAGTTTACATCCAGACCACCTTGAATACAAATGAAAACAAATGTAAAATGTTTTCAGCCAAATCTTACCCAACTCACAATATATGCCGGCAATCATTTTATTACTAGATTGCATTTAACCATCAGTTCCACTGTTCCTACTGTGCACTTTCTTCTATTTTGACATCCATGTAGACCTGGAGGACAGATCAGCAGAGTGTCCTTCACACCTCAGCCAGAGTAAACACATCCTCCTACTACCGGCACTTGCTCACACTTCTGTGCTGCCATGTTTTTACAAATCCTCCTCGCCCCCCCCCGACACACAGCTGCCACTGACATGGGAACAGTAATGTTTTCCTTGTGTCAGCGCAGGAATGAGCAAAACTAATAAATACAATTATATTTCAGAAAAATATTGTTTGCACTGCGGAACAAAATCAACCTCCCCCCCCCCCCCCGTCTGTGTAGAATATTCATATTAGTATTGTTAGTGTTTTCTCCTTGATCTGATATTTTTTAATCTCGTGAGGAACACAGGGAAGTCATGGCATCCCCTGTGATTTTTATTTTTTGAGCACCCTTTGGCATCTGTCAGCAACGCAATGTGCTTTTAACACAAATGTGATCAGTGAATCGGTCAAACAAAGACCGGAAGCTCAGTGCAAAATTAAAAGTAACCGTTGACATTTTTTACGAGACTTGCTCGTCACGTGAGTCGTTAGTCAGCCATATTTTTTCTAGACATGACAAAGTGGTTTTGTTGCCTGAAGCTAACGTGCTGTGATGATGCAATTTATTTTGAAAAAATGCTACTCATTTAATGTCGCTGCTGTTTCCCTGCTGTGTGGCACTGAGCAGGCGTTGTTATTTGATCAGACAGGAGCGAGAATGTGTTGTGTGTTTGGACAGAAAATAATACGTCACCGCTGAATCGTCTGAGCGTAATTAGCTTTGAGCTAGCTAGCCACAGACTCACAGTGCACGGCGGAGGGACCCGTTGTGTCTTTGTGCTCACCTCAGCCTCTGACTGGACTCACAACTCAACAACTTCTTCACTTGTCAAGTTGAAACATTTTCAACCACCTTGCTGTTTCTCCTTCTTTTTATAGCCTCGCGGCTAAGCTGAGCTAACGCGGTGCTCGTGGTAGCTGCATATACTTAAATGTATATATTAGGAATTGGGTATCAAGTCATTTAACTCTCATAATTCACAAAACAGTTTTTGAACCTATTTCTTAAAGACTTCATGAAAGTGTTTCAATTATTAAGCAGAAAACTCAAACGTAAGCCCTCAGCTTTATTCAAGTCATTACAGAGCTACTATTTTACAACAAATATACACAGGTCTACAGTATGTACAACAACAAACATAGTATTATAGTCAGACTATTGTGTTAATTCACAGACATGTGGATAACAACCGCACACACCCACACACACACACACACACACACACACACACAGCTCAGTCATACAGACCGTCAAAAAAAAGTAACATGCTCTGTAGAAATCTTGACACATGTTGTCAGAAATGCAGCAAAACTGTTCTTCCTCAGAACGTGGAAATGAGAGCATGTTTCAAAACTCACAGTTATCTCAGTTTTGTATCATTCTCGGGTTTTAAGAAAAACAGCGAAAAAGAGATCAATAAACGAACAGAAAGTTGTTCGGAAGTTCCGTACGTGTTGTCATGGCAAGATGCAACAGGTCAAGTTTCTGATTCTACGTTATTACCACCACCTACAGAACACAGCGCTACAGGTAAGAACAGACACAACGTCTCAATCAAAGACAGGAGGAGAACCCGGTCGGCTGTTTGGGTTGGATTTGGATCAGCGTGGAGAATCGAAGAGGATTCAATAATAAAAAAAAATCCTACGTTTAATGAAATAGTCATTTCAGGTTTATGTCTACGGAGATTAAACCAAGCTACATGTGCACTAAAGAAGACTAGACACAACGGCAATGTGCAGAATAAATAAAGACTGACTAGGCGAGTGAAAGAAGTGATTCCACCGAACAACAACACCAGCGGTAATATTGCTGCTGAGCCTCTGCATCAATATTCCGGGATTCAAATCCAGTTCAAGTTATGACTACAAGTCCTCGCTCGTTTTTTCTCCAGCGGGGAAGGAAATCAAAGCACCACATGGTAACATGAACTACACCCCCTTTCAACGACAGACATATTTTCATTTCATATTCTTTTTTCTTTTACACAAACCTCAAATAACACAAATGTTTGTGTGTGGGAGTGTGTGTGTTTGTGTGTGTGTGTGTGTGTGTGTGTGTGTGTGTGTAGAGGATGGTTCAGTAAATGATAAAAACAAAATGACAAACACTAGTTTTATATGAAGTGGCGGGCAGTCTGAGGAGCTCACAGAGGGAACAGAAAGCAACCACAGGTTCACATACGCAACCAGACCGCTTTTCACAACATTTTTAATAACAACTTAGGAGCACAGTTTGCGCAGCATGGACGCTCTTCCTTGTCTTTCCATTCAAGCTGAAGCTGATATTCAGCTCCCAACACAGCTACACAGTGATCTGCAGGAGTTTGGCTGTTCAGGAGAGGATTTTCTCCCGGGTTTCGGGCAGCTTGAGAGCTACCAGACCTCCGCAGACGAGGGCGATGAAGGCCAGGAAGATGGGGACAATCTTAGTGATGCCGATGAATGCTGCAAAAATGGAGCTGGCGAGTATGGCAGCAAGCTTGCAGATCCCATTCAGGATGCCAAACGCTGTCCCTCTGCAGAGCGACAAAGAGACATGAAGATCACGTGACTCCCAGTGAAACTGAATCGTGTTGACAGTGTAAGAACTTATTTCTCTGGTGAATGAATGCAGCGCATGAGGTTCGGCCCCCTTGACGGTCCGGCCTGCGAGGCTGGATCGTCCTGAACCTTTGGATGCTTTGTTGGACTATACTTTTATGGCAACCGTTCAATTGGCATGTGTTTGCTTATTAGTGGATTAGTTGATGCTTTGTGCTGGATGAAAGTCACCTCCATCTGACCTTTATGTTTTACATGCCAGTGTTGAATAGAAATACATGTTATGTTCTTAGCCAATTCTTTAGATAACAATTATAGTTCTTACAACACTGGTGTTCAAGCATGCTGGTATTTGCGAGATAATGGACAGCTGGCCAATTCCGCTACGCTTTAGTGTTTCAAGAAGCTACAAAAAATGTGCAATGTCCATTTTACTGTTTCGTTCCATGGTTGAGCGGTTTAGCAAACAGATGTCAGAACAAACTTTACAGAAAAGGGCCAGAGGTGAAGCGCGGTTTGATAGGTGGACTGTACCTTTTAGAGGATGGGTAGAGTTCCACAGAAATGACCTCTAATCCATTCCAGGCCGCGACGCTGGTGCCATAGAAGAGACACTGCCAGCATATTACTGCTCCTTGACTAAAACTCAGCAGCAACAGGAAGGTGCAGGCCGACGAAGCCAACATAGAACCACCTAGGAAGAAGAACGACAGATGGATGATGAAACAAGGTTGGTCAAAACAAAACAAACTCCCAACTCACTTTGCTGCTGCTGTTACGCTCACCTATAATTCGGATTCTTCCTATCTTGTCCATGAACAGGGCCGAGATGATGTTGCCAGGCAACACAGCCAAACTGCCCAGGAAGCTGACCATGTAGATCACGATGTCGTTCTCCTCCTGGAAGTTCAGATGGCAGCCCTTTTTCGGGTGGAGGAAGGTGGTGTTTTCCATTCGACAGTCTTTGAACTTTTCCTGCCAGAGGTCTGGAGAGAGCAGAGGCATCAGGCTGTGAACAGAGGTTTTCTCCTCTCGGTGCCGGAGGATGAGCATGTTGCAAATTCTTAATGCTTTGATGAATGTTTTCATATTTTACACCACTAATTAGTTGAGTTTATTGAGCCCTAGATTTATTGGAGCCAGCAAAGGGAAATGATTTCGTTTATTATAACCATTCGTTCGCCTGGTCATTTTAACATGATACCTGTGTTGTAGAAGACAGTGTTTTTGATGGTGCAATTCTCAAAGAAGGTGTTTGTTGACCTGACGTCCTCAAAGTAGCAGTTTTCAAACAGAGAATCCTCGAACTTGACAGACTTTATTTCAATCTCTGCAAACCTAAATGAAAGGACACGTATCTCATTAAACAGAAACAATAACATAAATACATATATACACACACAGAATACATGTATGTGCCGGGTGGAGTCAAAGAAACACACTTGTCATGGATGTACTCTCCCTCGCGGTGGATCTGGTTGACCAGGGAGAAGTTGAAGTGGAAGCGCTCGACCCGTTCTCGGTGGAACACTTTGACCTTGGACTCGTACTCCTCATACTGCATGTATTTGATCATGTCCGGAAACCACACTCCCAGCCCATGGTAGCTGATTCACAGAAACACACAAACTATAAAAACTCTACGACATTTCCTTTATTTTCTTAAGATAGTTCTGCCCTGAAGAAGTTTATGGATGTCAAAATATTCTTTAAAAGACATGATTTAGTGCAAATCCACTATTGGGAATATCATATATTGTGCTACAGCGCTTGATCCCATAATCATAAACAGTACAGGCTAAATAGAAGTGTTGCTACCTGAAGGCCAAGCAGAACCAGACAATAACCAGGAAGAGGCCTTGCAGTCTGAACTCAGGGGCTGATAGCGACATGATGTTCGCCATCACCTGAAGGAGGGACAGATGCGTAAGATACGGCAGGACAACAAATGCCACAATTTTTAGTTCAGTTGTTGTTGTTATCTATCGTAGCCGTGATCTGCAGACCTGTTGCAGCATGGTCACATGTCTGACGGTCCAGCGCTGGAAGGCCGTGCCCGTGTCGCTCTGGATCTCTATGAACTCGTCCTCTTCGGTTTGCGGTGTCTTGATGTTGGTTGCCTTCGCAAAGAGAGAGGATGTGTGGGCCATTAGGTCATAGGCCAATAGGCCAAAGGTGGAGCGCATTGCAATTTAGTATTTTGTGTGTGTGTGTGTGTGTGTGTGTGTACACAATTTCCACTGTATCTTATTACAGATACTTAATCAAGATAAGTGGAATTCAGCACTCATTCATTTTTATATTTACACCTGTGCTCAGACGTCCAGCACGTTAGTAGTGGGGTTACTCTTTATAGGGACAGCTTGTAAAGCATGTGGAATGAGCTTTCTGTAATACATTCATGTACGAACTGCTCAGTTTGATCACTGTGATTTGATCACAATCAGCGATCGGGCAAAACGGCGCTCACAGTGAACACTCTCTCCGGCTCCCCCTTGGCCTTCCAGTTAGTGTCGTGAACTCGTCGAAGAATCATCCACGCCTCATCGTGTCGGGCACTCTGGGGGGAAAAAGAAACACACACACAAACGCATCAACGAACGTTACACCTCTCAGGGCTTGCGGCACGTTTATTTCCCAGATGCTTCTTATCAGACAGGCGGGTGCCGAGGTGCATGATAATTTGGCGGGTGTGTGATATGTCGGAGCGGCTCCGCTGTAACATGCAAATACAATACCACATGTGGTTAAAAGGCTAACAATGAAGCCGGGTGAGAAAGCATGGGGCGGGTGGTGTTCTGGTGGCGCCTTAGCAGCCTCGCGCTACCTTTGCACAGCAGTGGCATGTTGCACTGGTGGCTGCTGATGACTCAACATCCTTAGCCAATCACAACTTTGTGTTTAATACTGGACACTGACAGAATGACTACAATCAATCTCAATAATCCTAATCCATTAGCAGTGCAGATACAATATGTTTACTTCTGTTTTGCAGACAATAATAACATTATCATAGTCTTGTTTTTTGTCCGTGGACGTCGGATCTGACCTCCAGGAGGAAACGGGGGCTCTCGGGCATGAAGACGACTCCGACAAGTGCAGCCAGCGCGGGGAAGAGGCACACCAGGATGAACAACCTCCAACTGTGGATCTGTAACTCAGAGCCAATGGCGAAGCCCCAGCCTGCAAAACAAGGCAGCGGAGAACATGTTATATTCCACACACCATCTGTTTGCATAAAAACTCGATCAAAAAAATGATCATTTGTTTGCATTTGTTACATTGAACGGATTCAAAACCTCTGACAACCAGGAAAAATATTTTAATTTCACAATGATGGCAACAAATTCTCTACAAGAGGCCCGACAATCAGTTCACCCACATCCTGTCATTGTTGGAGACTGACGTGAAAAAGCTCCACATGTCAAACAAACTAAATGATTCTCATGCATGTGTGTGTCTGTGTGTGTGATGCTGTTGCGGCGGCGTGGGCGTTTGTTACCGTAGTGGGGGATGATTCCCCAGGCAGTGAAGGAGGCGTACAGGCCTCCCAGCATCCAGAACATGCAGAGCCAGCTCAGATGCTCCCCGCGTTTATCCATCTGCAGGAACTCGGTGTAGTAGGTGTACACAATCGGGATGGAGCCGCCGATTCTGGGGGAGGAATCGCAAGACGTCTGAGACAATAATCGTCCTCACGAAACACTTTTATGTTCGTCCATCATTCTCTGAGCAATCGGAGGATTATTGACTGTCATTTCTGGCATTTGCATTAGTGATTGTGAGCTCATGCGTTCTAATGACCTTACAGCAAATATTACATTAGACTCCACAGGAATGTGTAAGAAGTTTCCTTTGGGACTATTTTCTGCCGGAAAGGTGCTTCCTACATTCCTTCTAATTGGGTCAACTGACTCTTTGTTTGCAAATAAATAACCAATAGAGCTTCATAACTGAGGTTACATTTTCACAAAAACAATTTATGATGCAAATGTTCTCTGCTTTATTGTCAGGTTAATACACATTTAGCGTAATCTAATCAAACCGTTCATCTTAACACAAATGAATTCTGAAGAGTTACTATGCTGTGCAGACTTTACACAACTAATAAAATAGGGCAATACTTTCAGTAGAGAAATCAGATAAAGAACTCAACGCCGATACAGAACATCAAATCAACCATTGCTTCTCCTGAGTCTGCCTACTCCTCGTGGCTCAACTAACATGGGGCTCATTATCACCCTTTTGGGGACTTTAGCTTTGCAAACAGCTCAAAAATGAGTATTACAGGTCTAGAGAACGCGGCTACAATCGTTATCAGGAGAAATGTGTCAAAAAAAAGGAAAGAAGCTGCACCCCAAGGTGCTTTCTGAAAAACACTTTTCCAAACTGGTGTTAGAAGTAAACTAACTGGCGTATCCCTGTGTGCAGCGCGCAATCTAAATGTGTCTTATTAACAAAGAAAATAAACAGACAGATTTATCGACTGGTGTTCCTGATTTATGTCCTCTCTCCGACTCAGGCTGCTCTCAAAGGGCCCCGGTTTGGTTTAATGTTTAAAGTGTTACTCTTGTCTCCGTTAAATCTCAGGTGTCTACTTTTGGAACACACAGCCTCATATGCAAACGTGGGGATTTGCTTTTCCTGGCAAAAAAAAAGTAGATTATTGCTCAGTCTTTATAAAAAAAAAAGCCAGTCTGACTGTCGGGAACATGTGAAGATCCATACAGCAGTAGATGTGTCTCACCCAAAGCCGGAGCAGAACCGGAAGAAGAGGAAGAAGCCGTAGCTCTGAGCAAAGCAGGACAGGAAGGAGAAGATCAGGTCGATGGTCAGGACGTAGATCAGACACTTCCTCCTCCCCATCTTGTCAGAGAGACCCCCCCACACCAGTGCCCCCACCATCATGGCCACGTACACCAGCAGACCTGCGAACGCACACAAAAAAACATCATGTCCCCAAAATGTGCCCTTTACAGTTCAACATTCACTCCCTTCACACACACTGGATGTCATTGAAACACACAGTGCTGCCTCTGCATCATTACTTATGTACTTGCATACATGCAAACACAGAAGCATCCCCGGGAGGAACGACAGTGGTAAATGTTAAAAAGAGAAAATATGGTCATGCTCTCCACAAGGGGGCTCTCTTCACCCTCGTATGAACAGAGCAGAGAGAAATCCCCAAACTTTGCAGCACGATGCAGTGCGAAGCTTCGTCACGCGCGCATGAGCACAGAAAACACACCGAGACTGATAATGACCTTCCAAAGATTTTGACTGAGTAATAAAGGTCATAATGATTTTTGAGTGCATCACTTCCGCAATATTCACCTTTCAGATAACGTTTCTTTTTCCCATTTTAAAGTCTGACATTTTATTGCCCACTTTGATGGCACACTTTAACAACGCAAAATTCACACTGCGGCATTTTATTTTATTTCATTTCTTGGTCAAAGTGACCTGGACCACATCCCAGCATGCAGGAGGTCTACTCTTCCATTTCCTTTCAGATGCAACAGTTACCGACCTCGGCGGCCATTAGAGATACAGATGATTGCTTCCTTTATTTCTAGTCTGAGTATTATGCTGCAGCCTCCAACCCGGGCCGTCCACCTCGCCGTGCTGTTTAACCCTGCAGACCCAGAGCTGCCGCCTGCTCCGTGTTTTTACTACGCACAACCCTAATTACAGAGGGACTAAGCAGCTTAGCGGTGAATAGAGCCGTAGTGTCCACCTTCCTCTGTGGATTACGAGAATATCCAAACGCTGCAACGTGCCGCGTCGCGTAGACGCTTCCACAGGCCTCAGACATCCCTGCAATCAATCAGCAAGATTTGAATAGTCAAACTCCTAACGTCCATTCCTTGACCTCTGTGGGAAACGTCATGGGGTCAAGGAGAGATGGTTAGCAGAATTCATGAGGATTCAGGAAATAAAAAACACTGTATCTAAGGGATCTGACTCCACATTCACTAACTAGCTTCAGTGAGGACGGCGAAACTACAATCTCTCCCAAGACGGACTACAAAGAAGCATCTTAGATGCCTTCATGTGTTGTTACAGTGGACAAAAAAAACAGTATTACTTTATTTACAAGTTTGCAACATAAAGGAGTTATGCTATTCGTCAGTATTTAAATATTGCCGCTGCAAAGAATTATTTAGGAATGATCTCCTTTCCTTTTGTAAAGGATGGTCCAGTGGTTCCTATGCTAAAGGAGATAAGTAGGGAAGCATTGAAGCTTTTCCCCCGAGCATTAGAGAACTTAAACAGCTCTCACCATGGAGGCCACTTACACTCAGTTAGGAACATTCATAAGCAAGTTTGACAATTCGAATCTGCCTTGGCTTGTTCCTTACGGCACCTCGTGCGCACGTGGACCGAGTGGCAGCAGCGGCCTTGTGATTAGACGTTTGTCGTTCAAGTGGAGGCCCAGAATGGACCCTGGAAGCAACAAACTTCTTTCTATCTGTTTAAAGTGTCCTTGAGCACAGCAGAGACACCGAATCCCTGGAGGGCAGAGACCAATTTCCCCTTTTTCTTAGAGTATAAAAAGAACCTCTGCACATCTAGATGAAGAGACAATTATCCTTTACTCTGGAAGAAAAACAACAACAGCTGCGCGGCAATGCGTTTTTCCGAGAGTACAATATGTTCCCGACTAAAGCGATGAAAACCCTGTGAACATCATTTTACAGATGTGGATTTTTAGTATGCAGATGACTTCTCATATTAGAAAAAAAACATCAAATATTGCTAGTGTTGCAGCATGAGCTCCATTTCTAACATTAGAAACTTTATTTTCACCATACCACACGTGTACTTGCATGTATCGCTCAAGGACACTTAGACATGCAGAACCATGGCTTTAAATGGAGGAATACCGGCTCTACCCACAGTGTATTGTGGAAAGCAAGCATGAGTTTTAGGAATCCTAACCCAGCAGGGAAACTCAATTCATAGAATTTGTATGCAATGGATACAAGTTGCAATTTTTGGAATGAGCTGTTTGCAAATTCAGATTTCCTGCTTCTCATCTTGAGTGTAGTGATAGTGGAAACATTTACTGTCTCTCGTGGGGATTTTTGTGTTTTCTTTAGATATATTCACCATTTATGTCTGGTTTGACTTTCTGCCTTCATGTGTATGCTTTGTGATTCTGCTCTCCTTTTTTTCCCTGCTTCATTGTCCCTTCACCGTTTCTTCCTTTTAGGTAGTGCTTCAACTGCAGTTTTTCCCCTTTGTGAGCTTGGAGTTTATTTCTAGTGATGACCTTTGTGGATTTGCTTCGCTGTTATCTGCCCGCTGGCCCAGGTGCATTTTTTTGGACTTCTACTCTCTGCATTTCCACCAGTCTGAAAAGTGAAGCTAAAGCAGAAGTGTCTATATTCTGCTGCATTCTTCCTGATGGCCATCAGGGGGTGACTCCACTGGCGTAAACTCCATGAGAAAATGAATTAACAAAGTACATTTAGGTCCCCTTTAGAGGAAATGGACGAGAAAGCAGGGTATGCTTTAGGGCAGTGGCAGCTGGTGGATTTGTTTTTTGGTAGGGCCAGCCAGTCAGTTTCAGTAAACATCACAGTATGATTCAATGTAAAACAAGGGTAACATATTAAATATTTGACATTTATTACAGTTTAACATAATAAGGACATCTTATCCAAACAATTCAGTTTATTAATGAATATATATTTACCCATGAATATATATATAACTAACTATAACTAACTTTTCCAATACCTTTTTTATTTAACAACTTTGTTACTGCCAAAACATTATCCTTGGAATAGTTATGGCAGCTTGTCCTGCCGCGGCGTGAATTACCGTAATTATTGTATGTTCAGTCGTCAAGTCTTAAATGTTAAATGTACAGCTAAATGTAGACTCTACATTTAACATTTACATTTAGATTTAACATTTAACATTTACATTTACATTTAGATTTAGATTTAACATTTATATTATTTAACAACTTTGTTACTGCCAAACATTATCCTTGGAAAAGTTATTGCATGAATGTACATGAATTTCTCTCTAAATGTTTGAAAAAGTGACAGTGAATATTGTTGTGCTTTTTTGTTCATATGATAATGCTAAATGTGGAAAAACTGCACAGGATTTTGGAACGTGCAACATTTTACAAACTGCGCCCCATACCAGCGACACAGTCAAGTGTAGCGTTTGCACGACACTGTTAGCTTGCTAATGTAAACTAACTAACTTGTTAAGTTTAGGTAATAACCCAATTAATCAAAAGTATTCTTTTTTTTAAAGTTTAAACTTAACCTACGTATGTAAAAAATGTTATGTCGCTAACAACAGACTAACAACTCAAATAAGGTTGGTTATGTTAACATAATATTCTCCACTCACTCTCAATTACATAAATGACAACTCTGAACTCTACATGTACAGTATATTTTATAGCAAATTACTCACACGTTCTTTAATGTCAATTGATGTCAATTGAACAACCTCATTAAATGACCCCTTTTGAGTTTGCTAGTTGTTACAAAGACCTAAAGAAGAGCTTTACTCTCTCAAATGGATCTCAACAAATGGAACTTGACAGATTTGAGATGAAAATCACCAAATGTATTCCACATTATCCTTTGAATAACACCTGGAAGCATCAAGATCAATTTAATTGGACTTTCACTTCTATTCCATATACGCAATACCCGCATTGCAATTACAATTTCCTTGAGAAAACTGGTTATAAATATCTGCAAGCACATCAGTTTTATAACTCGCCACAACTTTCTCTTATCTGGTCTCCCGCTATTAGCCTCCTGTGTTTATACTCTATGGATTAAACAATAAAACCAGCATTCCGGGCGAGTGCTCCATCGACATTCCTCTTGTTGGGAGTCTTATCTGCTCTCCAAGATTACGGTTAGGATTAAGTGCATTTCTGCTCTGGTGAGCCTGGAGAACATGAGCGAGGACCAAGAATAGGATCATTCTGCGGATCCACTTCCTATTCTCAGCCGATGGTCGAGCTCCCCTCCCACTCCGCACAAACAGACGCTGCGATTTCATTTCAGGAGCGTTTCTGACAGCTCTGCAGCGCGCCGCAGGCCGCCAGGTTCTCTGAGTGCTGCAACATGCTCCATATTAGCCTGGGAACACACACTGAATACAATCACCTCCGGGTTCCTCATCAATCTCTCGCAATGCCTCATCCCAGGAGCCTGTTGTTAAGACGAAATGAGCTATGAGCAATCTGCCACATTGCCTGGATGCACGCGAGGCCTGGGAAATAGGGTGAGGGGCTTTAATTTGCAGTTTGGTTTGTCTGCACAGAAAGTGAGGAACAGACGCTTGCAAGGGACATTTCCCAGTAAGTCGGCTCTATGCTGCATACTAATGTCAGTATGATTATATTTGGCGTGTATGTCGTAGTGCAACAATGTTTGGGAACGAATGAGGCTGGCAGGCAAATGAAACAAAGGAAACTATTCTCAATACACAGTATATTGAACTTTCAAAGCACATTAAACAGGTCCTTATTTCTGTGTATCTGAGGTGTTGTCGCGCCGAAGTCTACTTTCGGATTTCGGGACCAAAGCCAAGGGTCATCCTGGTGCTCAATATATACTACACTCCTATGAGGATAGATAATGTTGCCTCATTCCTTTATTTCTGATTCAGCTCAAAGCCTTTGTATTCTTCCATAATTACTCCCAGTGCCCGGGGGACATTTCTGTCTGTGGTCCATGTGCCATCAAGAGCCAACATCTGCAGGATTTTGTCTCAGCCAAGCACAACAGCAGATCATTTCACTGATGGGGTTCCTCCTCCTTGGGTCCATTTTGGGACCCTTCAGCAGATCGTTATCATTAGCAAGATAGTAATTAGCTGGTTTGGAGAAAATGTGTTTGCTAAATTGGCATTTAGCCAAGCTAGCTAGCCGCATGGCTGAAAACTGAACTGAATTATGTCAGCAACTTCTCAATCAAGTGCTGGGAATCTGTGAACAAACATTTATGGTCAACTCTGGTGATCAGATGGCATTTCCTGTTACGCAATCAGAGAGTTGAAATTTGTTGCCCCTACAACAATTTCAAAGATTACTACGCACTTCTAATGAAGGATCAAGTCAAACAGTTTAATTCCAATATTTGGGTTTATAACAAATCATTAATGACATTTGCATCCATTTGAGGCGTTCTTTCTGTCCTAGTCAGCAGATATAAACACACTGACCCGCTAAAGTAAGATGATGAATATAGTAAACATCACACCTGCTATACATCAGCATGTTAGCAATGTTTATTCTTAACATGATAGTGAACACCGAACTCAAAGCTTTCCAGCTCGCATTCTCTTATTCCGTTTAAAGAAATCTAATTCAAACAAATTTAAATTATTTTACTATTTTTTCTTCCAGGGTTGGTATTTAAATTTAGAATGAAAATCTGAAGCCAGGTTTACGGGTGTCTTTCCCCGCGCGCATGAAGTCGAAACCTCACACCTCGTCCCCCCCCTGCGGTCACTTACCCAGCAACCCTTTGTCGGAGTTGGATATGCACATGTCCTTCTCAGCACTGGGCAGGACGAAGCCCACCACGAAGCCGTCCACTCCGTCGGCCATCAGCGCCAGGCCCAGCACGAAGAACAGCATCCACTGGAAGCGCCCGTGGCCGCAGTCCTCCATGATGGTCTCGTACTGCTCTGGCAGGTTTTCCTCCTCGTCCTCCTGCTGGGCCGCCTGACGAGCTTTCCTCCTGGCCTCCATCCGAGCCGCCCGCCGCGCCTCCTTGATCTCGTCGGGGTGGGGGACGCCCTGGTACTCCCCCTCGTACATCTGCTCGTCTTCGTCCGCGCCCTCGGTGGCGTCGCTGCGAGCGTCCTCGTCCTGCGCAGGGTAGTCGGCCTGGTAGGGGTAGCCGTCCTGACCTCCGCCATCCTGGGTGTAGGTGTATTCCCCGCCTTCTGTCACCTGCTGGCTCACGTTGTTGTGATAGGGGTCGTCCATGGTTCCTGCCGGGTGCGAGCGGAGCAGGAGAGACTTTGCCTTGTCGCCGTCGTACTCTGAGGAGGCTCAAGTTGTCAGCTATAATGGCATAATCCTCCTCAGGAGCTGTGAGTTGCTCTCGGTGTTAGCGCAGGAGTTCTGTGCGCGTTTCCTTCTCAAGGCCTAAATGGCTGGCTTGTCTTTTACCTTCCTTGACGTGCGCAGCGCTGCATGCTGAACCTAAAACACAATGCAAACCATACATTGCAAATCAACTTTCAGCAGAACGGCAGAGGAGAGAAGGCATTTGTGGGGGGAGACATTGCCACCCAACAGTCCCCTCTGGGACGGCTTGTGACCTGCCGAGTCACAATTATAGTCTCAAAGAGCTGAACAACATTAATATTGTACAGTGACCTTTGACTTTCTATATGTCATGTGATCATAGAAAGGCATTACATCTCTTTGATTATCATTTCACTCATAAAGCTTATGCTGTTTTGTCCAGCTTTTTGTCGCTTCACTTAAATTCCCTATCGTGTCAATCTAATCCATGTTACGTGTTTTATTACTTATTGTAAAGGACTAAAAGTCATCTCAATTCAATTCAAATCAATATCATTTATTTTGCATAGCCCAAAATCACAAATTACAAATTAGAGGGCTTTATGCATGCGACATCCTCTGTCCCGAAACCCTCACATCGGCATGGGGGCAAAAATACAGACTATTAGTCTACTCAGAAATGAAAAGAGTAATTTGGCAGGACAGAGCAGTGCGGCACTCCCTGTCTCCCCCGCAGGCTGCTTGTCCTTCCACACAAGATAATCTCATTGTCCCTCTACCCTCAGATGCTTTGACGCCATTTTGATCCATCACACAGCGCTGCTGCAGCGATGGCACGTTCAGATCCCTCTTGATTTTCGCAGTGACAGATGCCGGGGGCACCAATAGGATGACGGTAACGCAAATTATTCATCAATCTAGGAAAGTTGGCTGTCACATTATTTATTGTCGCGATTAAGTGACTTGAACACTTATTTTTACAAATCACGCCTGAGCCTCGGTTCTCTGTATTTTCACAAATAAAAAAAGATGACGCACCAGGCTTCATTACGTAGCACACAATCACTAATGAAGTCATCTTGTTAAATTATGAGGATATGCAACCATGTCTTTTTACGGTGGAAGTTGTAGTAAAAATAAAAAATAAAGTATTGCTCAAATTTGAGGGATGCTTGAACATTAGTAATCGCAATAGAAGCACAACAAGGGAAGAGGCAACTCATCAATGCCTGTTACACAACTCAATATATAGTATATTATATATATCTTAGCTTCTGTGAACGGCCATGCCAAAGGAAAAGCACATTACTTATATGGGTATTACTTGTTACAGTGTTATTAATCTTTTGTATGTTTACCTTGTTGTATTTATATTAGTGCTACTTGGTTTTATGGGTATAAATCGTTACTTGTTTTACATCCTACGTGGCTTTAGCATTACTTATCGCAGGGTTGCTACTTGTTGCTGTTGCTTTGGGTATTTGGGTGAAATCACTTGTTATAACTTGCTATATGAAATACAGAAACAACTGTCGTCTTAGTGGATGGCCGGTGTGTTTTCTCCGTCCTGGTTCGGAGCCTCCATGACGAACACTGAAATGTAATCCAGATTAAGACTGCAGATTTATTTATTTTTTTCATTTTGCCCTCGTTGCCTGACATCATTGTTCCATCACGAAAGTCATAGAGGTGGCTGACGGTGGATTATGGAGTCTAGTTTGAGGCACTGAAATGTATCTGCTTCCCTTGGCCTTGTCGTTTTTGAGAACACAGACTCTTTAATGCAGTGATCGTTTTTGGAGCAAGGAGCCAAATTGCAAAACCCTGATGTTCATCTGAGCGCGTAATGCCACTGTTTCTTTTCTCCATTTGTTGTTTCCTTTGTCTGAATAATACATGAGCAGTCCAGGGGAGAAAGTGAGAGGGTGGAGGCTCGCTCTGGTCGGTGTTGCTTTCATCATCCTGCTGCTGCAGCGCCTTTACTCTCACAGCTGTCACTTACATAACGCAGCACAGCTGCCTGTGCTCACTCCTTCCCCTCCCCTCTGTCTCCCTCCCTCATCCTTCTCTTTTACCCCATCGATCTGTGTTGGAGTTTATGAACGTGTCAAGTCGACCGGCCTTACCACCAACTCATGCACATTAATTCAGATGTCAAATCAGCATCTTTCATCGGGGCAGACTTTGAATAGGTCATGATCTGCCTTCCTGCGGGAGCGTCCGCCAGGGAGAAAAGTCAAAGAGCTCCTTTGAATCATGAAAATCAATGTGAATCTGAGCTTCAACGGGAAGCAGATAGGTCACTGTGTAATTTAGCAAAAGCTATCTCAATTTCACAAGTGACCTCTTCCCGTTGAGATCATTTATTAGTTTCCCTCAGCCACTCATTCGCCATTGTTCTTCCAGTTTCTGTTTCTTATGCTCAACATTTAGGCACGTTAATGCCTCAGTAACAGACGTTGGAAGGATAGCTGAATCAACACGCAGTAGGTAAAGCAGTTTTAGCCTCAGTTTTTTATTCACTCAGCCACGATCTTCCCCTGCTGTTTGCGGCTGTGCTGTCCCATCAGGGGTCACAGACATATGGGGAAGTGATCATTCATTCCCTTCCTTCACTCATACCTGCACATCCAGGTTCGTCTGTCATGGTTCGGGTTATAATACTAATATCTTTTAAACCCTGGATATGATGGTTGTTAAGTATGCGCTTTGTATTTTGTCATCTCCATCCTTTTTTCTTTATTTTATATTTTCTTTGCGCGAGATGTTTTAATCAGCCCCTGTGGATGATCCATCACACGTGCACAGCTCGCATCAGTTGTTTCCCTTCGATCTGCTTCCATTGCGTTCTTTTTTATCTCTACTCATTTAAAATAGAAAGCGCCCACTGCCTCTACAATTCTTGATCCGAACCTGACAACAAGTTTGCATTATTCACAGTGGATATTAACATTTTCTTGGATATTCCATATATATGATGTATAAGCACAGTCGATTTCCTGGCAAAAATGGCTGACATTTTTCTTTCAGTTTGCACCACCAGGGTTCCACTAAACAATAAGGTGCCGCAGTGTTCGATGCCTCAGAGGTCAGATATATTTACGTTAAATTATATTATATAACAACCAAAGTAAATATCTATAATCTATCTACTGCATATTTTCTGTCTGTGAAAAGTAAAACTCAACTGTTGAAGCCGTGAGTGTATTTTTTTAATCCCAGCTCCTGTGTGACCTCGAGAGGTCAAAAGTAAGATTCTACTCCATTTCTGGGGACCACCTGTCCGCCAACCTGTCAAGTTATGTTTAATAGCCACACGTAATGTCACCAGGTCAGTTCAGGGGCAAGTGTTGCCATATTGGGCCTTATTGAATATGTCACTGATATTTTCATTTCAATACAGGGAAAACGAGACGCTAAACAGACCCTGATGTCAGAGACACTACGTCCCTACATTCAATTTATTATTTTGTATGAATCTCTACACATTAGCTCCAAACAAATGCTGACAAATGTGACCAATGATGATTTAGCCTTTCTTAGGTCCGACTCTAGGTTGGAATGTACATTTGTATTAAGATAAAAAAAAACATTGTGGACCCACACAAAGTGTATCTGTTACATTTTGATGTTATAGCAACGCATAAACCAGAAAATATAAATGATGAACAGAGAGGATGAATGAGCAGGTATCTACAGTATTCCTCACTCCATCAGTAAACTGTCAAATTAGCAGCATTGAAGAAAAATAAAGCTGTTGTCTTACCAGAGTTGGTTATTTCCGTAATGTAAAAATGACTTTCCAACAAAACAAACATTAATACAAATGTGCAAACGTCCAAGTAGCATTTTACAAATGTCCAAAGCCTACATGTCGGTTTATCCTAAGGCCGAGCTACAGCCAAGGCTGAGGGATTAGGATCCAGCCTCACGATCCCCCTCCACGGCCAACCCCTCCCTCACCAGGGCTCATCCCTACAGGAACTAACCCCCCCCCACTCCCACCCCCACCTCTAGGGCCCAGTGGTACAGTCCTTCAAGTGTAAATGCAACAGGCTCTACAGATAGAGACTGTAAACTCTGGATACTCGCCATGGTGCTTTTAAAGATACTCTTGATCCCTGCAGACACTCCTCCACGGAAAGGTCAGAGGTCACTGTCATCTGGCAGAACGAGCAGCCCTGGAGGCCTCCAGCGGCCTGCGTTCACCGTCGAGTGATCTCCTAGAGTCTGCTCGTTTCAGATCCCATTCAAACGCCCCACCAGGTGTAGTGTCATCGCCGGAGTGGCCTGCTTTCATATTTAGGTGATGGTGGTCTGTAGTTACACTGGGCGAGAAGAGCCCTCCTTTCCTCATAAGGTCACGTCCCTGCAGTGGCTGCATGTCTTGTCAAAGTGTCCCTGAGTCCCTACAGTGCCTCTTTAGCTGCTTCTCCATCCCAAAGATGGAGAATCGACAAGCGCAATGAAAAGGCTGAAATGCCCCTCTTCCCTTGAAGCCAACGTTGAGGTTTTATCGGCGTGGAGGAGAGCAGACGTGATAATGCATGTGTCTGTGGCACCGGAGGATGGATAACCGCAGCTCTGCTGCACCACCCATCATCTCTTTGGTTTGCATACAGCACATACAGAGTGGGGAGTAGAGAGCACCGTCACAGAGAAGAGCAGCAGTTGTACATGAGGGACGATGCGGTGGATTGGTGCCGGGCTGCTCCCAAATGATAGTATGGTTAATGACATGAAAAACGTTTCAGAAATCACAGTCAAAACGTCTTAATATAGTTTGTGTTTACACTGTCCGCCTGTTATGGGAAAGTTTGTGTGTGTTGTGGACATCAAGGGCATTTACACGAACACTGTCTTCTTTTCTTCTGCTGAATTGTTCTGCCTGTAAAATACTCCAACATGTTTCCTCAAGACCAATGTTTTAAAATCATATTGTTTTTTTTGTCTGATAAACACACAAAAGCCTTAGATATTCAGTTTACTGTCACATGGCACAAAGAAGAGCTGGAAAGTGACAGAGTGACAAACATTAATTAATGTTCTGCTAATTCATAATATATAAGTCAAATATATTGTAAAAGTAATATATGATGCATTGCACAATACACTGACACGGGTCGTTCTGTTATGCATAGTTGTCCTGATTCATGCTTTTTCTATTTAAAGCGTCAACCATTGAATTTACATAAACTTGAAGTTGATACCTTCGGTCGTATTAGTATTAGTACAATTAGTATTACAACATTTGTATATTGCAGCACTGCCCCAACAGTGTAGATGGTACGTCCCGCTGTGGGACATCATTATAGAGAGTAGATGCCTTGCATAGAGGCAAAGCCCTCTAATCCCAAGGACAGATAATTCGGGTGCAAAGAGGATTAGCTCCACCCCAGCGGAGCCATTGGCTAAATTTAGCCCCCATACTCTTGGTCTCTATTTAAACCCCTCCTCCAAGCCGCGCCCTCTACTCCACTCCCACAAGCCGCCCAGACGCCCCGTCCACCAATCCCACGCCGCCGATCAGAGTAACACCATTTCACTATCTGAATAATCCGGCATCTACAGGCCCATCACCCGGGCCCTGAATCACGTTTGTCTTCCTGCTAAAGAGGGAAGCCCGCAAACCGGCCAACCACACACAGTCACCGTGACAGGTGAAGGAGCCAGTGGCACGCCAATGCCCCCCCCTGCCCGCCATGCCTGGTGCCATTCATCTGCAGAGCTTCGCCCTCTGTGGGACGCGTGGGGATTATGGCCGACGGTGGCCTCGAGAGGAGGGGCCTCGCCCACACAATCCCTGCAGGGGCGAGCGAGCAAGATTGTAGAGGCGTCTCGTGCAAACATTCGGGAAATGAATTGCTTCCAAAGGGGGAAGATTCTGGGGAGGGGTGATAAGACCCAATCACTGTGTCACCTTTATGTGCTGCTTTATTGTGTTGCTCCAACTGGATTCTACACGGCTGTATTTTAAATGCAGTACGTGTTGGACTGACTTGGGAAATGATTTAGTTTCTTCTAAAATGATCACTGGAACTCAAATGTTGGTTCTTTTCTGTCAGACATCTCAAATATATTGTTTCAAAGCCCCTGAGGGCTTCTGTGCCACCTACTTATGCTTCAGCTCTGTTTTTAAGTGCCTCATCCTCTGTGCGGGGGCGCCCAATAAATTTAAGATAACAAGGCAGAGGAGAGACATAGAAAACGAAAACCCTGCTGCTGCAATTACTGCGACATAGTTTTGTTAAAAAGACAAAACATAAAAACTGTTGATGGACCTCGGGGTCTGGGCCGGTCCTGGGACCATGCTGCAGGTGCTTTTGTGCCTTATGAAGGAAACCAACAAACCTCTTTCAATCACACTTTTACTAGAATAGAAATCCTTCGAGTACTCCATGGGCCTGGAGAATGTTTTCATCTGGGGTGATTGGTGGCACTCACTCTCACTCTCACTCACACTCACACACACACACACACACACACACACACACACACACACACACACACACACACACACACACAGTGATTTTTAGTGTGGGGTGTTTAGACTCCACAACAGCACTAAATCCCAGCTGATGGGATCAGTTGGATTTACTGACCAGCAGCACCAAAGACACTGACATCTTGTGGACTAGATGATAAAAGCTTAAAGCCTGACCGTACCTGACCTTCATACGTACATTAGCGCCAACAACCGTGTTTCGATCGCAGGGTTATTCCCATGATCAGCCAGTTAGATAATCGCATCGACCTGCATTTGTTTAAAGAAATGTCCCTCTATATGTTACCTGGGACACACTCAAGCCCTCGTAAGACGGTACGGTTTAAATGTTACTAAACAGGCATTCATTCAAAAGTCTCTAATGGGTTTCCTGGAACGCCAGGAAAGGATCTTCGGAGTGAGGCTGGGAGATCATTTAAGATGAGAATTTGCTTTCCAGTAGAATAATAACATTATGAATTTTCAATTGGAGACGTTAGAATACGTATCATCAACGGGATATGGAATGACCAGTTGGGACAGAGGATTTTGTGTTATATTGCCCAGCCCTCCCACTTGAAAAAAATGTTCATGTATAATTCCTAAAAGAATGAATTAAATGTAAATTTGATAAACCACATTCAATATATTCAATATTGTTATTTTCAAACCGTAAACTCTCAATTGCTGCAACAAGCACAATCAACTTCACGATTACATTTCATGTGTTTAATTGTCTTTTTTTCAGTACAATGGCAGAGAGGAATAGGAGTAGGTGAGTAGGATCGTGGTTTTGGTGGTTTCATTGGATTTGATAACAATCTGGAAAATGAGGCATAGATACCCTCCTACAGCAGAACACGCGCTGGCTGTGGGATGACAATGTTGGAAATGACTCGATGCAGCCGGCGGACTGACAGCAGCATGACTGGTACACTGTTATCTGTGCAATTACACCGCACACTATCAATATCACTCTGAGGTGGGTTTTGACGGTCTGTTCTCACAAGCTGAGATGGAGAGAAAAATAAAGTGAGGAGCTTCTGGAAAATCACACATCCAGAGTCGATTTAAATGTGACAGTTAGAGAGGAATCGTGTCAAACGCCCTGAGAATTGTTTTCTCGTCTCGGGCGAGCATGTAGAAAGGCCCGCTGGAACAAACGCCGGGTGTCAGTTGAGTGAACCGCGTTGCCGTGACAACAAGCTGCTTTAACCCGGAGGAAGCCTCTCACACATCTGTTTGGTTTTTGTGCTGTCAGAACTTTTTATACTGTGTCAAATTCGCCAAAATGATAAAGATGAGAGACTTTGAAAGCGATACAGTGAGGGCATCTTGTGCCGTGATCTGTTACTTATTTTTTTAGATACAACTCAAATATTTACACGCATACATTTCTCATATAGACGGTTTGTCTTAAAGCTAAATGCCATTTTTATGTATACAGTGGATCAATGGCCTTAAATATCCCCCAACTTTTCAATTTCCTTCAGCTCAAAAGAGAGTTCTTCCAAAAACAAGCTGCTACGGGTAAAATAACACTTCTCTCTCCATCCAAACAGTTATACTGTGTGAGGTTAAGGGAGCTGCGGAAAATAACCTGTATACATTCTGGTTAGCCTCCAAAATAGGTCGCCCAAGATGATAATAATACTAAAGATAATTAGTAGTAGAAATATAATATTATATTACGATTATTTTCTCCGTGTCACAATGAATTGAAGAGAAACGGACACCTGCTGCTGTTTGACGATGACTTCATTCTTGTACAAAACTAACGCTCAGTGAGATTCAACATGCAGTCGAGAGAATCTCATCATCACTGATTGTCGATGGCGCTTGTTTCTCTGTTTACCGCTCCGGTTTTTCACTCTCAAAGACAATTCTGGGCCCCTTAAGAGATCCGATGAAGCCCATGCGATGAGTGATTTCACTCAACGAAGGTTAAAAAACAACACAATGAATCGCTACTTTAAAGCCAACATGTTTGAGAAGATGAAACAGCCACCAAATGCATACTGATTTTGGACACTATTATCATTATTATTATTATTATTATTAGCAGTGGTTTGGAAGACTTCTGAACTGACATTGAACTACAGTGTGAAACCTGTTGCATACTAAGCCTGCAATCTGGATACAAACGTGACATTTGATTGAAGTTCAAGCGGTTCGCTCGCTGCCAATTCACTTAAGCTTGAGAATAACAACAAAATCCTCAAGGCCCGCAGAGGAAATGTGGACAGTGCTGCCGAGTGTAAGAAGCTTCCCACTGAACAATGAGACAGTGTGCGCAGCACTCTGCAGGCACTTCAGCCAAACGATATGCTTCTCCCTCCTCCCTTCCTCTTGCAACTAGAGGTTTTTTTTGTCTCTCCTTCCAAGTGTTTACTCTGGCCGGGGTATTTCTTCTTTTTCAGCGCTATCTCTTTCATCCGAGTCCTCCAACTTACAAAAAACTCCTTTTTACCGGCTCACAAAGGCAGCTATGTACTTCTTTGTGTCGCGCTTGTTTTGCCCGTCTCGCTCGTGTTCTGGCAGTCTTGCGGACCTCCCTGCTTCCACATTCCCCCCACGTCCCCGCGCTCCTCCTCCCAGACCCGCAATAATGTGTCCAAGTGCAGCTCAGCACGGTGGTGAATGGGGACCATTTTCAATACCACCAGCCATTTATCTAACCCTCGGCAGGCTGCAGGTGGAGGAGAAGGCCCCGGAGCTATGAGCTCGGACACGCTTGTGACGGGCAGAAGGCCTCGGGTGCCTCCGAAAACCACCTGCCTGAGGTTGGATTTCACATGGCGTGATGGAAACCGCGTGCCTGCCGTGTTTTCTCACACCGCTGGCACGTTTTTGATGAGGTGCTAGAAACAGAGAAGGCAGAAAAGATGAGGTTCAGAAAGAAATGCAGGCTGTCTTTGTAGCTCGAGCGGGCACAGCATGGGATTGCAAGTTTCAAGTGATGTAACAATCTCTTGTGTGTTTGTTTCCTTTATTCTTTTCTGACAACGACCCATGACAGCAGATAAGCAACGCTGAGAGCAGAGTGAGACGGACTCATCTCTGGATCCTGAAGGCGAGCGCTGAAACACAGAAAAGACGTCTTTGACATCGGTGGGTCGAGACCGCTCCCTCGCAGCCTTCAACTCACACAAATATCGAAATATGGCAAACGTAGCCGTTCGGGGAAGTGCAGTTATCAGGACTCCCTCTGCTTCAGGGGCCATTCTGACATCACAAACAGGGATTTCATCCAAAAGTGTAAACTCACATGGCCAGATACAAGCTCAGCTGAAGACCACGTAATGTTTTTTTTTCCCACGAAAAACAATACAACCTCTGTTCAATTCATGTCACTCAAAAAGATGGCAGTCAGATGAGTCTGCCTCCTGGAAAGGAAGGATCTGAATAATGAATTCTTAGTGATTTTGTGAGGTTCTTTGTATCGAGTTATGCCCCGGATCCTGATGTAAAGTAAAGATTATTTCAAACAAGTTTGTGAACAACATGCACACTTTGTCTGGTGATGAATTTGAATGCTTAACTTAGCACATCTTAGGCGGAAAATCCGTTCTGAATGTAAGGAAACCATAAAAGTGCACACAATAGTTTTCCTAAAAAGGCAAACATCCAGTGGAGCGTGCTTGTCTTTACCGCAAACCACATCCCCGAATCAGCACGCTATGTGTCCCTGAGATCATTGCAGAAGGCCTTCTGAGCCAGCAGAGGGCAGCTCTAACCACAAGAGGTCTGCCCCAAAGGTTACGCACTCACCTTGAGACAGCAATGAAACCTCCATGTAAACACCTAATGTTTGCACCATAGGACATCCAAGTATGTGTGATTCACACTTTAATGACAGTTGGTTACAGTTTCACCACTAGCAAGAAAGAAAGAGAAATTAAGAAAGGAAGCAAGAAAGGCCGTGACCTTATCTTCAAGGCATTTCATGTCTATCGTCAGACACAGTATCTGTGTTTAGTTAGCTAAATTAGACCTTGCAAGTGAATGCATTTTAATCTTTGTATTTTATTACTGTATTATCTACAGAATGTGTTGTACAGTTGCTCGGTTGAGAAACCATAGAGCTGACGGAAACTGTTTTATTAAGTCATCATAGTGACACAAGAGACGGTATGGAAATATGATCATTGTTCAATAAAACTACAATTAAAAGTGAATATATTGAGGAAAAACAGTGTAGTCATGGTGCTGTAGTTGTTATTTATTCATCACTGGAAACATTGGTCTCAGTCAATACTTCGGTAGTTGGTGGCTCGATTACTTTGGGCTTGTAGGCTTCCCTTCAAAATAAAAGAAACGTTTTAATGACGATATTTAGCTACAGGTGGTGGGAGTGATAGTTCGCTAGCTAGGCCGCTCTGGACCTGCTTATGCTTTCAGCATACTCCCTCACACACACACAGGAAAAAAGTCCACAAGTCAGAGCAAATGATTATTTCTTAAAGCAATGTAAAAACATCTATTTTATTGTGAAAAACCTACAGACGATGGCGACAACACAACTTTGCTAGCTTCACCCTCCCCAAGAAGGTCAACCACGAGACTTATGTAGAACTGTCACGCCAATGACACCATAGCGCAAGTTGTCTGTCCATTTGCTCTTGAATCGCTTCAGACCGCTGGGCTTTCCTCGCGACTGAACACGTGCCCCCTGCAGACTGAGCGCGGGGCTCGCGACAGTCCGCGCGCTGACTCCTCCCACCGAGTTGTCCTGGGAAACGCTAACAACTGGAAGAAAGTGCACTCGAGCCTCCTGCTGTCTGTACGAGGACGCTCTGCTGCCATTCCAACTCACAGTGGACACTTTTTTGAAAGGATACCCTGGGCCCAGCTCCTTCCGGAGGAGTATTATGCGTCCGAAAGTCGCCGCTTCTTCTTCTTCTCCTCCTCCTCCTCCTTCACGCTGAGCCTCATCTGCTCCAGGTAAGAAGGCTCGTTCACAAAGGAGCCCGCCGGTAACTGTTTGACTGACACGAATGGACTCCGGCGTCGCCCCGTCGCTCCCTTTGGCTCAACTAACGTTAGTTCAATGGCTGCCGGGCTCTTTGACTTGTTGCCTGGCAGCCGCGACATCCTCGCGCGGAGCCCCCGCGGGACCTCGACGTGGGAACCTCTCGCGCTCCCGCGAGGACGATACCCCGGCTGTCCCGCTGAAGCGCCCCACGACAGCACGCTAAAACGGCCACAGAGCGAAGTAGAAGACGGAAAGTTTCAAACTGCTGCCGTTAGGACGGAACTCGTATTGCTGACGTTCAGTTAGACCCCCCGTCAGCACCAACGACTGCCGGCCATTAAGGAGTAGTTAAGAAAGACTTGATATTTCTTTACAGTACACAAGTAACGGGGGACAGGGAGAAATTAGACTCAATTAATCGCTTCATTTAAAAACCCACAACCCCTGAATGGCATCCAAACCCCTATTATATGATTGGATAAACGATATATGCAGATTAAATCCCAGCTTTATCTGTCCACATTGTAACGGTCACACCTGCAATAAACATTCCACCAAGCACAATAAAACCATCATAAAGTGTCTGTGTGACAGGCAGCACAGACTCTCCTCATCTGGGACTGTTTTACCCCTCAAGGAAGTTCAGTAGCACAAGCCCTGTGTTCTAAAGCTATTGGGAAGGACTGCACACACGTAAACAAAAATAAAAAAGTAGCCTACTAATTAATTTACACTCGATTGACCTCCCCTACTCGACCTCAGGCGCTCAAAAGGAGCGGGCGGCGCAAACATGGCCGCTCGGGCCTTCTGATCCCTCTCCAGCATCTGAATCGCTCCAGTGAAGATAGTCAGGGGAAACAGTAACAAGCTGTTACTGTGAAAGTCCAAAACAAAGTTCTTCAAAGATAGCTTAACATTTAAAACGTCTGTCTCAAGTGAATACTCTCCTTTCCGCTGTCTTTAACAGCCAGCGATACTGAACTTACGCTCTTGTCTTAAATTGTCCTCATTTCTGTATCCTGAGGAGGACTAGCAGAACGGAGAGGAGCAGCTGAAAGGATTTCATTTAAAACCGGTTTTATTACCTCACTGAAACTTCCTCACTCTCTGCCCCGAGAGGATGAACTACGATGACCGGACGCAGTCGTTGGTCCCTCCTCCTAATGTGGCGCTCGTCGTCGCGCGTTTAGACCCCTCAAATGTTTTGAGCATGTGTTCTGTTCGCTGGGTGTCGATGCGTTTCCTCGCTCCCTGGAGTCAGGCGGCCGTAGTCATCTGCCCTTCTTGTGTCTCCATGTGGAGGCTTTTATTTCGGGACTGACCCGCGAATCTGAGCGTCTTTCTTTTTTGAAGTTCACCACCGTCGTCGCGTGTAAGGGAAGACTTCCCAGAAGTTGTGTCCAACATACAGCATCACTTGTGATACTTTATTTTATTTTTTCCACCTGTTTCAGGGGAATAAGGTGAAGCTTTTGGGTAACGTTGGGCATTAGTGCGGTGTCCCACAGGTGGCTCCACTGGGGAGATTGTTTGCTTTTTTTTGTGCCTTGCTCAGTAGCACATTGTAGAGGGAAGATGGTCCAGTGAGTGCTTGGAATTGAACCCAAGCTACCCGTATAAACCTTCCTTGTGACACTTTTGACTACAGCAAATGTTTACGCCTGTAATCTGGGCGTGCGTTACGGCGTTTATCCTTTTCAACGTGCAGGTTTCTCAGCTTTTCAGTTTAATATGTGTAAGGTTTTTTATTTTGAAATGCCAAATATGAAGTTTGGATAGGTCTTTTTTTTTTAAAGCTAACAGTCTGAAATGTCTTGAATAACAGAGCCACCATGTTGTCTCGTATGTAATCAGATGTAAAACAGTAATGACAATCCTGGTATCCAAATGAAAGAATGTCAACTTTTCTTTAGATTTCAACACAATCTACTGATAAAAAAACTCACAATGTAGCAGCAGGAGACGAGGCTACAGTTCAATGAGCATCGGCAAAAGACTACACAAAAGGTTTCACCGAACAACAACACAAATGAGTGTATCCTCGATCACCACGAACTTTGGGCTCAGTTTTGAGGCTGTTCCCAGTATTCAGCTCCAGCACAGTAGACACACGAACGAGGAGTCGGCCTTCCCATCCAGAGCACCGTAAATTACCAGGAGGTTTGTGCCGGCTCCAAGCTGAACCCGGCCAAATTTCTTGTCCCCACAAACCCCCTAATTTAATGATGACGGAGGATCCGCACGGTGTCAGCCTTGTAATTACACCATATTTACTAAAGCATGAAACTCTTACAGGTACCAGTTGGCCACACGGGATGGGTTTGTGTATGGCTGGGAGAAATATCCACAGTGAGGCCTTGACTCTCTTTTACTTACTTTTTGTTTTGTCACGGCCGAGATCGCTGGAATCCTCTCAGCACGCCGATCAGCAGGCGCACTCTCTGTTCCCAAACAGCAGCCTCCTCTGCAGTCTAACTCCCCCTTTCTGGGACTTATTGGTCCCCGGAAGACGTTGTTGTTAATTGTTAACGCAGGCGGCTAGTGGAAAATGTTCTAGTTAGGGCAATCAAATCAATTTCAGCAAACATCCCAGGTTGATCCACTGCAAATCAATTAAGCTATATATATATATAAAAAAAACAAAAAAAAACATTTCTACTTTGCTGTTAAATATTTTTATTCCAACATGAAAAACAGTCAATAACAATTCAATTCCTTTTATTTTATTTTATTTTGTATAGCCCAAATTTGCAAATTACAAATTTGCCTCAGAAGGCTTTGCAGTCTCCACAAATGCAACAACCTCACAGACAATTTGGCATAATATAATATCTATATATCAAATAATAAAAAGTATGCTATAACACAGGGGTATTCGACTAAAATGCAAAGAGGTTCAGTTAGAGACATTTTCTAGACCCAAAGGTCTGGAAGATCATAATGTGACTACTTAGTGTGATTAAATAGAGTTGTATCAACATTTGCATTTAATGAATACACAACAACAAATCAAATGAATTCAGTACGATTCAAAAACTCAATTTACACAATTTACGTGACAATATGCATTGTCACGTAAATTGTGTTCTCTCAATTAACCAAATAAAAGTAGGGCTGCATTTAAAAAAAAGTGCATAAATACAGTACGTGTGTATGACAGGCATTCACATCTGCATTCCGGTTCATCAGATTGGATCTTGTAGAAATGCACAGAGCATTCTCACTTCTGAGTCTGATAGTGGGAATAAAAAGACTTCCATTGATGACAGTGTAGGAATGCTAGAAGTCTCCATGTGGACAGAAAACAAACAAGCAAACCCAAAACAAACAGAAGACTTTGCCAGTAGATACTTAGAATATTTAGAATGGATGGAGTCTAAACCAGCTGGTGTATTTATTGTTTCTGGAATTGTCCTGTGCACACACTGTAGTCAGATTTCCTTATGTACAGGAGATTCTTCCTGCCGGTGGATGAGGTTTGATCTATTGGACTAACAGCACACATTCTGCAGCAAATCTTAAAAATCACTTTCTTAGTGCATATAATGCCTTTATTGATAGTGATCAGTGAGGAGAGGACAGAAGTACAACCAAATAGAAAATAAGTCAGTTGTAGTGGTGTGAAAACAGGGAAATTAGGTAAAATTAGGGAAATTAGGGAAATTAACACTCTTCTTAAGTACTGTTGTAAGATCCTTCTATGTATTTCAATATTCAGCTAGCTTTCTGAGGTGTAATGACTCTGCCAGAATCATACATGGCACCTATTGTTGTATTGTAGATTGAGATTGTACATTCAAAATGTCAATAATTTTAATAGAAAATGATCCGATGGGACAGTGGGATGGACTACTAATGTAACCTACCTCAGTTTCCCTATAATCAAATGAGTTTTCCATCGACACAAAACCATTGTGGTCATGCAGGAAAGCCCCTTCTGGCTGTGTGTTCTCCTCGCTCTCATCACACCTCATTCTTTTGAGTAAATGAATTGCTGATCTGAAGACATCATCTGTCTGAAGAGATGGGAGAGAATAACAACAACAACAACAACAACACTTTAAGGTGTGGAACACAGAGGGCAGGGTGGCTGCAGTCCCTTCAGCGCCAGGTTGCCACAGACACCTGACCTGCAGCCTGCGGGCTCCGCCTCTCCGCTCTGACATCAGCGCTTTGATCAGCCTGCTGTCTGTGTTCGCACAAAGCCATATTTAGCTCAGTGTAATCAGCGCGGCCAGAGCTTCCATGTCCGCTGCTCAGCGATGCCTGTGTATAGTGTAAACACACCTGCTCTTCCCGGTGGACTTCCAACGACTTTAATGTGCACCTGAAGGAGTCAGCGCGCTGCCGTATCCACCAAGCGGACCCAGGGTAAGGCCTCCTTCAGTGCCTTATGTGTGGCGCTAAAAATATGAATTTAAACAGCTCTGCAGTTTGAGGTCATTGTGGAAAGTCCAGCAGTAATATCGTAATACCGTAAGTGGTCAGCTGATCAGTGGTATGATACCCATGCAGGGCAAAGTTTGACTGTGATTCACCTGCAGGGCCTAGAAACGTCTGAGGTAAGGCTTGGTGCTCCTGATAAGGACATGCGAGATTGGGCCTCTGCTTAAGGGAAATTACATGTTTTATTTATGGGCACACGTTTCCTCGTAGAATTTATCGCTACGTGTATATTCATAAGAGGTGCAAATAAGTCCATTCAGATTAAGACAAAAGATGACCTGTCACCAAATCTTTAAACTATCAAGCCTTTTTCCTTAATTCGCTTCTACATCCTAATTTAGTTTCTCGTCACATGGTGCATTCAAAGACTGGTTGGTCGCATGCAGCAGGTTTGACTTCTGTATAGTCAATTAACCAGAATCTTGACCTTTTAATAATAATTTAATAATACAGGATCATTTACTTTTACCAATGAAAAGTTACAAGTCCATCCCTTTTACTAGTTTCCCGTTTGAGAAACCGG